TAGATGTCTATTAACTAGTGTAACCATAAATTTGTCTATAATAATTGCATGTCAATTCCTACTTTTAATATCATTTATTCATCTCAATTATGCATGTATTTAGATTTTAGGATATGCAAATGCGTGTATGCATGTTTTTAAATGGTGACGCTTGGTACAATAATAAGGTTGCTCTTTTGTGATTTAGGTGATCAGATTTAGTGTCACGACCCAGGTCTGATGGGCTAACTGTCAACATCTCATTCGTACTTTGGGTACTCGTATAACCATCAAAGATCGTTGAAGTGACTAATTCTTGAAAATAGGGGGTGTTGACGATAAAGAAATTGTTGGAGTTACCATTTCCATCTAGCACTAATACGATTGGTGTTAAGAAAAAAACTCTTGCGGGAAGGCTGGCTAGAAATTTCTTATAAAAATACTAGCTCCTGTCAATTCATAATGAGAATAGTGAAATTTTAATTCCATGGATTATTTCCTTTAGATGCACAGAAGGGAGGAGCCGTATGAAATGAAAATCTCACGTCCGTCGCTCGTTTTCGAACTAATCAACTTTTTCTTTTAGTCCTTCGGAACCTGAGTGAGGTTGCAAATTGGCTAACCCTTTGCGGACGCTTATCGCAAGGGCACGTCACGACTTAGTAATTCTAGTTAAGTCCGTGACATTGAGCCAATCAGAGTGTTAGAATTTTCCCCACTTAAGGGCTTGACGTCCTCGTTAAGGCCCAGCATAGCCCAGATCAAATCCTAGTATGGTACATATGAGGTGTAACTTAGTGGTGGCTTCATATCATGGACGAGTTCCTTGACTCAATCTATAGGTAGTCTTTTCCTACTCGAGTCCCCTCACTATGCCCAATTATTAGGTCAGTTCTGATACCAAATGTCATGACTCGGGTTTGGTGAGCTAACTGGCTTATTTACTTTGTTTGGCCCAAACCACTAGCCAAATTACTTAATCTAAAGTTGATAGTAATATACTCATTAGACTTTTATAAGTCAATCTTAGTTTTTGCCCACTTCTAATGTGGGACTAATTGGAGTGTTACATTTAGAGTTAACGGAAATAACCTTTGTAATTATAAGGGTACAAATTGGTAGATTAACCCTTTTCAGAAGTGGGAGCCTCGTGCAGTTCACCCTTTTACATGTTTATATGCATAATACATATTTGATTTAGTTAACTCTTACTAGTTTGTTTGGGGCTTTTACATGCATATATCTGTCAAGAATAACCAAAGTTGCATATGCGCTCGTGGAAAGCATGTATTTCGCTCAATAGAATAGATTCTAGCATGTATTTCACATCACTTTGAAGTTTGCAATCTAAAAAGAAATGTTTTTAATCTTAGGTTTTGAGGGATATATGTAATTTCATATTTTAGAGGGTAAATATGAAACTCTTGAGTCCATTCTAAAAACCAGGTCTTTTTTTCCTCTTTTTTTTTTTGACAAACGGAACTCTTTTTTTTGTTTTTATAAAATCTATGTAGATATGCAGATGCAAGTGGAGCTGGCAATGATGTCTATGAATTTGTGAGTCCTTTATGTTCTTTTACTTACATGTGTTTACTATACTTTATTTTTTCCCCTTTCTGTTTCCAAAATCGCTCCTTAATTTTACATTTCATTGAATGTTTAATTTATTATTGCAGGTTAAAGCCATTGGTAAGTTTAAGGAAACAAAGCGCACAGAAGGAATTTCGACATCTGATCTTATAATGAGGATAGTTAAAGACTACAACCAGTACGTGATGCGCAACTTGGCTAGAGGATACACCAGGAAGGATCTAGGTGTCAGCTATATGAAGGTTACAGTTGCACCAATATGTTCATCTTCAATTATCGACAAGGCTTTTTTTCATGTTCTTTTTGTTGCCATAACAAATGTTTCTTACGTGGTAGTTACTTGTGGAAATTCATATGTAACCAGATCTAGGTGTTAGCTATATGAAGGTTACAATTACACCAATAATGTTGATTTTTCAATTATTAACAAGGCTTTTTTCATGTTCTTTCTGTTGCCATAACAAGTGTTTTTTACCTGGTAATTACTTGTGGAAATTCTTATGTAATTCAGGCATCCTGATTTTTTGTCATTTGTATTGCCATCCAGGAAAAACGGCTGAGGGTGAACATGGAATTTGAGAAGCTGTATGACAAAGTTAAACAACAGCAAGAAAAAGTGGGGAAGAAGGTATTTTTGTCTAAATTTAACCGGGATAGAAATTATTAATACATCTGAGGCAGGAGTTTTTTATTGAGAGATAATATTCATAAAATGTTGCCTCCAGTTAAAGGTGTGGGAAGTATATCTTTTTTTATGATAATTTGTGTATCCAAAAAGGTTCTTTTGGCTGCAAAACATAAGTTTATAATGTCTGACAGGCCATGTTCTATGGGTTAGGTGAAACTGTGAGATTCTCTTGATTATCTGGTTGGCTTAATATCGAAACTCAATCTTTAATAATCATGACGCTTGAGCAAATTTGGTATATTCAGAGTATGCAAATTTGTGCTCAAACGTTACATGGAATCTTGAGCAAGTTCTCTAATCTCATTTCTTTTAAATGGACCATCCAATTGCAACCCCTTTGCTTCCTTCTGCTCGAGTAAAATGTGACTACTATGGTAATCTTTGTTGTATGCTTGTACCAGGACTGTTTTTAACTATCGACAAGGATAAATATTTACATTGATACGATGGAATCGGCTCCTAAAAAGGAGAACGTCTGAACCCTGAAAATTTTGTAAAATGTTTTAAATCGTAAAAAAAAGTGATGGATGAAAATCTCAAGCAACCTGGTTCCTGTGCTACCATGCATTTCTATATTTTATCTCAATTATACTCGTGTTGGTTCTCTGTCGAATCACATTCAACCGGATAGCCTGATTCCCTAATTGTTCAATAACTTCCCTGATATACCATATCCGGTTCTTCTGTAGTGTGCTTTTGTGAGAAATTTTGAACCAATTTGCAGTTAAATAGGGTAGGCTTACTATTCTCTAGCTGCATTGTGGAATAATGGGATCAGAGAAGTATCATTAGTATTACTTTGTGGACACTACAACAATTTAAATGGCCTCTTACAGTTGGGGCTGCTTCACGACGAGTGGGTGGAAAACGCCGATCGCTGGGTTGCTGGTTTTCTTGAAAAGTTTGAGGAAGGCTGCCATCAAATGGTAGGTTTCTTTGACAGAGGGTGTGCATCTGCTATTGCCTCCAGACTAATTTTCTGTTGAATTCATCAGGGAACGGTCATCAAAGAGCGGATTCAGGAGAGCCTGTTGAAGGGACAACCGAGAGGGTTCAGCTTGTTGCAGTACGAGGACGACGAGTAGCCAAGTATTCAGCATTTCTAGTTGTAAATTGTTAGGAGTTTGTTCAGTTCAGTTCAGTTCAGTTTAAATATAAATGTTATAGAGAAAGGAATTGTGATATCTAAATTCATCTCCCATGATGTGTTGGATGATCTTACTACATCCTGTTATTAAGAACACTTGTTGGTAATGAATGCATTGGATGTCTTGGTGGACTATGTGTTTATTGACACTCTTTAAACACATTCTGTTAAGACTATTCTGAGGTTTTAAACATTCTGTTAAGCCTATCTCAGATATTCTTTTACACATTCTGAAACTTCATTTGGAATCTTAACATTAATAAGAAATAATATGATAAATCAATTTACTAGCACATTTCTTGTTGAAGTTCTGATGTTTTCTTTCATTATCTTTCTTCTTGTAGTCTCTGATCATGCTCTCCTCCTGGTTGACAGCCACAGGATTCTACTCGACTCTCCCAACACAAAATTCTTCTGGAACTGCTTAGGGTATTAAAGTCGTAGACGATATGGTTTAATTTGGTCTCGACGAGGATCCGAAGAAACATTTTCATGAATTGTTTGATGCTACTGAATCACTTCAAAGAAAACAAGGATACATCTCAAGAACGAACGTGTCAATAGATTTCCTCAAAAAAAGGAAAGACAAAAATCTTGAGAAAAGAGGGGAAAGAAAGAAAGAAAGAAAGAAAGAAAGAAAGAAGGGAAGCAGTTAGTAGGTTTGGGTTATGTTCTAGTTAATATGAATGGCTTATGGAGGAGTGTAAAGGACGGATACAAATGGTGCAAAGGTTATATTCCCAAGTCTGGTTTAATATAATGCATTGACAATGTTCATTGAGTTTATAGCACAACCATTTTTTTACCATAGAAATTTCATTCATTGAGGTTGGAAACTAAAACATAATTGCTCATCTGAGGATACTTATTTTGAATTAAGATAATATTTATTTATTTATTTATCTTGAGTTATTCTGTCAGATCGGTGATCTTTGGTGTACGTTTAGATATGATGAAAAAAATTGAATCACTTGGTGGATTCAGAGAACGATTCTAATCCTTATGATAATAATCGATATTTTACATATCTTAGCCTATCTATGAGATCATAATAATTTGACGAAGAAGTTGATTGTCAAACACATTACCATCCAGATTGTCTGAAGGAAAACGTGAATATTCTTCACCAGAGGATTACCTCTATTCGATGGGTATAAATGGCCTAAAATAGCAAGCTGATGTATCGACCAACTAAATTCTCCAATGGGTACATATCTATTTTAATTAGCGAAGCTGGCCGGTCCACACATTACCCTCTCCACGGTTCTACATAATGACACCATGAACATGAGACATGGGGCATAAGTCTGAGACAGCCATATGGTGAGAAAAAGAGCAAAGATCTCATAAAACCTTTCCTTTGTGAAAGCACAGAGCGCAGAGGATTAGATGCCAAACAACACTATTGACTTCTTTAGATCGTTAAGAGACATGATAAGAGATTTTATGTCCTTACAGTCAGCAAAAGAAATGTTTCGCACAAATGACCACAACATTGATTTATTACTTGGCAATAATACTGAACAAGATATGATAATGATGTCGAGCACGCTGTTGTGTCGTTTGTTCTTCCAAGGATCAAACAGCTGCCACATCTTTGCATTAAACTTCTTGTTGGGTCGCATAAGAACATCACAAATATGGAGTCTTTTTCTTGTTCGTTCAAAACACAACTCAGCATCATTATTTATATTACAACGATCCAATGGAAGGTAAAAGAAAAACAACTCCAAGTGCTGCTTCGTCATCTTACACAAACTTGACAACATAAATGGTTACAGAAGCATCTAAAACAAACAATGAATGCTTATTCCACTTTTTCCCGAGCCTGGGTATCATCGTTGGTTGTCATGTTTGATGGTTGCTTAATGCTAGCATTAGCCTCTGCTAGAAAGGCAGCATCTGGTTGGTGTTCACTGCTACCCGTCTCCTTCATGGCCATGATAATGTATAGCGCAATCACCAGATTCACCGAAATAACAGCAAGAAATCCACTTACAAGTGTTTGGCTTGAAGATGAAAGCTGACCTGTACCTGTTCATTAAAAGAACAATCATCTCAACTTGGTATGGCAATTAAGAGGTTTGTTGACCAAAAGAAACAGGTATTAAAAAAAAGAATGAGACAAGGAAAAAAAACAATATCCTTTTTCTTTCTTATCAGGAAAACTCTATCAGATCTGCAATTAAAAGTTTGGACAAAAGAGACAGTAAAAGAGAAAAAGAATTAACACCATGAAAAATTAAATGAAATGTCACAACTAAAACAAAAAGAAGTCACTAGTAAAAGTGATATGCTTTTTCAGTTTCCACAAACTGCTGGAGACAACAACTCATGGCATTGCATCAAACCTAGTGAAGAACAGATCTGATTCACATGCTTTATGAAATTTGAAGTAAAACATAACAACCTGATAGAACAAATGTTATTGCCTTCATTTACCTTGCAATCAAATTGTACTATACTATTAGGTATTATTAATTGGAAAGCCAAGATCCAAAAATCCAAGAACATAGTGATAAACGACACCATGAAAAGTTAACCCAAGGTCTCTTTACTTAAATGAAGGCTTTAATTATAGCTATCTACTGATTAACTAGTGATTCTCTTCGAGAAACATTTGGCTTCAAACAAGAATCTTGGTTTCCATCATCCATCGAGTCCATCCAGCAAGCTTTCAGATGACTTTTTTTTTTTTTTGAAAAGACTTGATCCATTATTAGATGATATTTATTTTTTGAACCTACCAAGAATTTGTGGCTGGAAAAAGAATTGAGATTTCTTAGTTAATCAATGCATTAGAGACACTTGTAGTTACCAGAGTATCACCCCAGATATAGAAATGATTTGAAGTGCCAGTGCCACATTTTAGAGGCATGTTGCAGTTAACACGATACGCAATGAAATAAAATTAATTCAAGCTTACACTTTCCTTCCAGAGCTGCACCCGGGTGAGTTATTTAAAGCTTCCTAGTATATTGCTATGCAGAAAAGTAACTAACACGCAATGCAGAAAGCTAATCCAGCATAATGTGAATCTGGTTTGTAATAGAAAGAACAAAACTTGAGTCATTCATTCCTTCAATGTTTAAGTTGGCATGACTACAAAATAGATGACAATCAATGAAATGATGTACACTAGTTAAAATATGAAACTCAGGGAACCTTGGCAGGGAATAAAATTTCATAAGAACGATAATCAAGAGAAAATGGGTAGACAGTTATAATTTCACAATTAGGAAAGTGAAACTTGAAGACAAGCTTAAAAATACAAGTGAAACATCATTTCCAACATCGAGTCTATGCCTCTCTAAATTGTTGGTGAGCCTTCATAGTGTTGAATGCTAACGGTACAAGTATATACCAGGAAATATATGATTGTTAAATCCATATAATATAGCCACTGGAGCTATCCACATGATCATGGATGTAACAAAGAACTTCTTGATCACCCTTGACATCAATACCTACTACTCTGCAATTTCACAAAAAATAAAAATGGAAGATTAATTTTCCATAGCATCACATCAAATTGCAAATAAATAGCAGTATTGTTGTCATTCGTTTTTGGTAAATTAGTCAAAACTGAATATTTCACCTTATTAACAAAGAAAGATGCATAAAAAATTCTAGCTTTATCAATGTCTTGTATTATTAGTTTAGAAAGATTAAGCATAGAAAAACTGGATATGAGAAATGTGGGCATTCGAGTGTTCACTTGGCCTGTGGTTTTAGCATGTCATATGGCTATGTATTAATGGGCCCAATCAATATTTAAAATTATAGCTTTACAGTAGGGTTTAATGTGCTGCCCCATATTTTTGTGAACCCACCAGGACATGCAGGAGCTTCTATGGGCAACGATACTGCACCACTATGTCGAATGCAGTCATCACATTTCCTAATTTTATCAAAATGGTGTACGTATGTCATGGTTACAAAACCTCACCAGCATGGTGACTGACAGCCAGGATACTGGAAACATCAACTCATGAGATATTTGGCCAAAAAAGCTTTGAGCTTTGTGATGGTTGACATGGAGACAGTATGCTTAAGAATAACGGAGTGCATACAAACAAAATGATTGTTCGACCTAAACAGTACTCTTTCAGCATTCACCTTCTGAAATCAGTATCCTTGAAACCATTGATATATTGCACAACAAAGAACTTGCTACAATTCTCTTGCGATGATAAGGTCAATAAAGATAATCACATCTAGCTACATAAACAAATTTCAATTACCTAAACGGACGATCAACTCCACCAAAATAAACTTTGAATTGTTCAAAATACTTACTGATCGAAAAAGAAAAGAAAGATTCCAGTCTCTTATGACTCTCCACCAAGTGCTCCCAAAATTAGATCCCAAAACGCGAAGGTTTTTGGTGATTAGATACCTAATATTACGTCTATCTTCCGTCGATCATACTTACAACAAACCAATACGCATACGGTAATCTAACGAACGAGCGTTCCAAGCAGATTACAAGCAGCACCGATTGAAACCGAAAGAGCAACGAAAAAAAAAAACACCCAATTTTTCACTCTTGCAAAACCCCAAGAAGCGATCGACGAAACAGCAAGGAAACCCATGAACTGCGCAAGGGAAATTTGCGACCAGCGAACAACCTTACCGCGGAGACAGAATCGCCGGCGACGCAGACGGAGCGAGAGAACCGGAGACCGCAGATCTATTAGGGAGATAGGAGGCGGAACGGGTCGGGTTGCGCGCGCTAAATGAGCCCTTTAGTGGTCACCGTATTTGATGCTGTTTTAGTTACGGTGCGCTTCGAGCTCATCATACCACCACCGTCCCTTTCGACGGTAGCGATGGACAGGTCGACCAAATGAACCGCAAAGATTCAACCCACCCGATTCGGGACCCACAGTAGATCTGTGGCAGTTTCGGCTCGACGCTCCCCTGTCTCAGCCGACGCACGAGACAGCCTTCCGCCTCAGGGAGATGGTGGGACCCAATCACATGCTCATGTCCACGCACGAGTTTGATGCCGAACAATTGTTTGTCCCGTCTTTGTCGGAAAAAGATTCTGTAATCAATATAAGAAAATTATATAAAAAAATATCTTCTATTCACAAAAAAGTTACAAATGATTTTACTTGAATACACATCATTAAGTTTAATAAGTGTTCTCTCTTTTTCTTTTTGCTAAATCAGTGGTGAAGTGGAGAAACAATGACATAATTGGGTGATCATTTATATAATGATAGAAAACATGTAACAAATTATATATATAATATGTTACATATATATCTTAGACGGTATCTTCTTTTCATTTTTCCTACTAGTCATCCTATATTTCTAATGTCTCAAAAATACCCCTCCAAAATTATCATGTGTTTTTTCACTCATTTTATAAGCCACCCTATGGAGTGGTGCATAGGGTGGAACAGTCAAACTATTTACAATATATTGTGCATTTTTTTATCAAAAAAATACTACAAGACTAGTTAAAAAATATTTCAAGTCTTGTTCAAAAACACTGTATAATTCTTCTTAAGGAACTATATATTGATGTCATTTTACTTAAAAATATTCACATTAAATCTTAACATGTTGTGGGTTAAATTTAAACTGCAAGTATACTGATCCAATTTCTAATAATATATTTTTATCGACGTCACATAAACACCGTAAAGATAGTTAAAAAATACTATAAACATCATATTTTTTATCGAATACTCAACGTATTTTATGAGCCGATTTATAGTGTTTTAATGTTAACTAACTTTATAATATTTTTTAATTACCAATAAAAATGCTACAACGATAACTCGTATGAAGTCCTAATGTTATATTGTAATTGTTCAGAAGATGATATTTACCATAAGAAATGAAAGAATTACCGAAAAGAAGTCTTTATAGTGTTTTTATGCTAATATTATAATTTTTTTTGAACACGAATGAATGATTATAACGATGTCTTTTAATCATTTTTTTAGAATTAATTATTCAAATGATGTCCTAATATAATTGTATATTTGGTATGCGCTGCGATGAATAAAAGAATGATAAAATTAAAGACTTTACAATATTTTTATGTTATCTTTATAGTATTTTTCTAAATATCGAATAAAAACACTGTGAAGACTTTATAAAAATATTGGAACGAAATCTTTTAATCACTTTTTTTGGAATGAATGATGCAAATGATGTCTTGGTGCAATTCAATTGTGCATATGATATATGTATCGGAATGAATGAAAGAATGATAGAAATAAAGGCTTCACAATATTTTTATATTATCCGTTTTCTAAATACGAATGAAAACAATGTAAAGACTTTATAAAAACACAGTGATGTTTTAATTTTTAGAAACTAGTCTTAGATTCTTTTTACACATGACAACATATCACTTTATTTTACTATGGTTGACATTGTAAGAGTGTAAATACTATACTTTGGTTTACTATTTTCTATGCTAAAACATAATATATGATTGACTGTGTTCGATCAAAAATATGATATTTACAATATTATTGAACTACCCTTATCCTTTACTCTGGTAAAACAATTTAAATTTAATCCACAACCTGTGTCAAGATTTAATGTGTATATACTGACATTAATATATAGTTCCTATTGAATTATACAATGTTTTTCAACTACCTTTACTGTATTTTTTTAATTAGTCTAACAATATTTCTATAAATAAAAACCTACAAAACATTAATAAACAGTTGGATTGATCCACCATATGTAGGGTGACTCATAAAATGGATGAAAAAACATATCATAAGAAATGGGCAAAAATCCATGACAACTTTTGAAGAGATATTTTTGAAACATTAGAAATAAGAAATGACTAGTTGGGAAAAGTAAAAAAAGAGATACCATATGAGAAATACCCAACAAGAAAAAAAATTTCAAAAAAATCACCCCATGCACATTATATATATATATATATATATAGGTCAACTGTCAGCCTCTTATCAAAGTATCATCATCACTAAATATGAAGAAATTTTGCTGATATAACGAAAAAATAAGAAAGAGATAATGTTGTTGTTACACCCCAAGACATAGTTTTCACACAACCCACACAATGGAAGGGTTGGCAGTACCAGCGTGCCAACATACAGAATGATGATCACAGAACTAAAAGAATGGAATAGTTACTTTAGTTAATGATACATGCATTGAGTCACTTATGATTTCCGCACAAAATCTTGCTCCTGACAGTTGATGACATGTGACTTAAACACGGAGACAAAAGATGCAGGATGTCATATAATTTGACAAGCCCTGAAAGCTTAGTGGCCGGCAGGATTTCTATTCCATGACAAGTATGAAGGATCACCAAGCTTCCTGCAATGGATACACAAAGTGGTTAACGCTACTAAGAACTAAGGTAGGGTTTACCGTTTTGTATTAGTAACAAGAATGATATGTATAAGAGGGTATCATATGTAGATAACAAGACATGAACACATGAAGGATATTAGAATCAAGATTATTGTTCTGTTCCCTGAGTAAAGCATTTATGAGTAGCAGCTGGATCTACACCCACATACCAGCTAAGATATTTTATCGATCACCAAGAACATGCACATTTCAGATCATTTGTAGGTTTCATACATCCAGCATGCATCTGACACAATATCATACAACTCAAGTGTAACTAGTTAAGGTTTTATCTTGGATATGGATGGTGCTGCGATGCTAGCCTCTTCTAAATTGATCTTTGAATTACTGACACAAGCAACTAAGATATAGGTATGACAGATAAAACTGGAAAACACAATGAAGATATAGAAACTGAAAACTTATGCACATGGCCAAGAAAAAAAATACATGTTTAAGAAAAGGGTGAAAATATGCCTGAAGAATAAAAAAATGGTCTCAAAACTACAGTACATCCATGTAATGTAAAAACCAGATATAGAATAAAACATATTAGGGCATGCTTAGTATTTTCCAACGAAGGAGGATGTACTTAACCAGACCAGATATCACCTACTCTTCTTTTTCCTTTTTACTTTTCATTTGTTGCTAGTAGCACATACATTAATTTCCACTCAACAACTGGAAGACAACTTTTAAAGCCTTCCCAGGCACTAATGCTGGCTCAACATGCCAATGTGGACTAAGTACTTAACCAGACCAGATATCACCTACTCTTCTTTTCACTTTTTACTTTTCATTTGTTGCTAGTAGCACATACATTAATTTCGACTCAACAACCGGAAGACAACTTTTAAAGCCTTCCCAGGCACTAATGCTGGCTCAACATGCCAATGTGGACTAAGTTGTCTAGACTAGTATTGATTCTGCCAAACCATAAAAAAACCAATCTGGTTCATTCCTATGCAGTCCGACTAAATAAATTATGCTGCATGCTCTAGTTTCATAACAGTACAAACAAACACATGAAATGCTTTGGCATGAAATAAATTTGAAGGAACTGAAGTCGACCAAAAGAACATGGATTGCTACCAATAGAACATGATGTTGCAGTTCACCAATCTAAAAGTGCAAAACACTATCTTTAACAGGCCCAATAAGTGCATCCTTCGGTTAGAAAAGTCCATACTTTTTGCATTGTCATTAAAGATAAACTGAATACTCCACATTCTTTTCACTATAAATACAGAAAGTCTATGATATCTCATAAGTATATTCATATTCTGCAAACAATGACACTTAGCAAAAGTGTCAAGCCATCACACGAACAGAAGAAACATAGCAACATGGTGGAAGCTCTAAAAACACCTAGGATGAATTATTATTTGCATAATGGTAGTTACCATATATGTTAAACAAAATTAAAGCATATTAAGCTATTTCAACATTTTAATATTACCTTACCAAAAAATTTGAAAAATTGCTTATAAATAAGAACAACTAAAACTAAATTTGTCATCATAAAGGAGCTTTATTTGTTAGATTACTGGATACAACTAATCCCATCTTCCAAATAGATTTAGCCACTCTGATTGATTTGCAAGTATCTTTTGCAAGGAAGATAAGTCAACAGGAAAACATATATCTACAGTTTATAAGAGGTTTGGTAGGACCATAGACTTTCCAACATTTCATTATTTCTAAGAGGACATAAGTGAACATCAATTTGACAGTAACAATCAGCTTTTCCCCAACCACAGATGGTATAAATCTATGATACCAATAAGCAGAAAATGATAACTAAAGGAAAAACTAAAAGTAGCTATGCACTCGCCCTCCATAACTTACTTTAAGATGGTCAACCTATTTTAGCTTGTATAGGTTTTTAATCTTCCACCGTACCGGTGTTTGCTCGGTACGGTATGATGCAGTGTACCGAGCAATATGCCAAGGTGTACCGAGTGGTACGCCTTGGCGTATCCAGCGGTATTACTGTCGGCCGCCTCCCCTGATAAAGTCATGCAAGCCTTTACCAAACCCCAGCATCCAAAATCCAAGAGCAATGAGGAAGAACGATCATCGCCTTTACCAAACCTGTCTCATCTACACACACTGAATTCCCCAAAACCGACGGCCACCAATTGGCTGTTGTCGGCGTGCAAGTATCCCAGGACCCCTTCCTTCATCGTCAACTGCAACCTCCCCGACCACAGCGGCCACGATCCCTCGACCACCCCATCCAACGACGACTGCTTCCTCTACGAGAAGTTCCACTCCCTCTACACACATGAGGAGGTATGACGAGGACCCGCCCCCTGCTGTGTTCCGCCCGATGGAGCCCTTCTTTGTGTCACCCACCGAGTCCAACTCCCTTCTCCGAGATGCTAGACCGAGCATCGCAGCCTTGTCTTCCTCGCTGTTGTGCTCCTCCTCTTGTACATCAGATCCCAAGCCAAATACCTGATACCGCCCGATAGCGGACGGTTTGTGAGTCGGTCAGTTGACAGATTAGTACGTACTGCCCGTACCGGACGGTACGGTACGATATTCAAATCACTGGTTTCAACCACACTTAACAAAGGCGGAATGAAGTGTAAGATGGATTTCTAAATGAGCTAGTTATCTCCCATTGTATGTCTCCCACTAGACAGTGTATTAGATTACTCTAGTTCCTGTTATTATAATCTACCAATTACTGTCATTGATAAATTAAATTGAAGAAGGCTCAAAAGATGTATCTCAAATGATAAAATTGACAATGTAGAGGGTATGACTCAAGAACTGTAGTACCATATCACTTGAAGAAACAAAATCAGTACACATTGTAAATTTTCAGTTTCCTTTATCATATAACCATGTCAGTAATTTACTCAGGAGATATTTACTATCCTAAAGATAAAGCAAACGCATAGACAAAACCATCAAGGTTGGGTTACACAACTAAACTGCACATAGACAGAGAGTGAAAGATAAATTTTGCTTTAACTAGCTTCCTAGTTTCCAGCACTGAAATAAGTCCACTTCAACCTCCTTGATCCAGTCATGGCATTATCAGTTTTGCTCAGTAGATAAATACAGTAGAAGTACTTACCTAGGTTTTACCAAATACACGATAGTGAAGGCCACAGCTAAAAAGAAGCATAACCCTCCAACAGCCAGATAAGCAATGCCAAGAAAGTCATTTTTTCCACCAAGCCAACTTGATGTGGAAAGCACCAATTTCTTCTTGCCACTGAAACTGTATGTGTTGTAATTGTTCTCTAATGTAACAGTAATGACATCACCCGCATTCAGATCCTGCTCAATCTTCCCATACAATTTCCTAAATGTTGGAAGAGCAGCAGTGCGCATCCAGACAATGAGGTCTTCCTGCTCACTTAACTGTTCACATGAAAAGCAGAGCATATCAATATAGCACTCAGTTACACGAATTTCTCAAGATATCTATGTTTGCAGCGGCAACTATATAGAAAAACCTATCTATTAGGGAAATCTGACACTATAATTTCACTTAACAGATCGAGAGTAGAAGCAAGAATCAGAGCAAACAATTAGAAGCTGTTTCTCTTGGTGGAGGAAAAACATTGGGGTGAATGAATTTCTGAGGAACAAAAGAAAATTACTGAATAAGTGAAACATTCTTATTATTCACCCTCCAAGTCATGGAAGAAAAAGGTCAAATTGGTCTAATATAGAGAGAATGAACAAATTCAGGTACTTGAACTAAATCAAACTAATCACATTACCATGGCACTGTTATAGCTATCACTATTTGCTCATATTATGCCAAGAGATAAGAAACTGAACTTATGCAAAAAAAACACAAAGAGAAGTCTCACAGGTTTTGTAGCGTCAAGTGTTCCACCACCTATAAGAGGGCCACTTTGGAAGTTCTTTGGAAGGACATCCTTTCCAAACTTGTGATCCCTGTCACTCTTCCAAGAAATCCCCTTCTTGTTCACGGTCAAATTTTTGTTTCCAATGGCAAAGATATATGTGTCATTGAACAAACTCCATGCTATGAGACCACATGGAACAATTGGAGCACCATCTTTTGTCCTTTTTTCTGGATCACAGCCACTTGTTTCATTTTCCTGACTCTTCTTTCTCAATTGTGCATCATTTCGGCTCTTCACGTACCTGCATTCTTATTAATATAGGAAGTTAAAGTTCATAAAAATTGTCATGAGATATTGAATATGCAATAAAGAGCAATCAACATACAATGACAATGTACCATTCTAACTAGTTAATCCACAGAAAGAAACACAAGATTTTTTATCTTTAAAAGGTGGCTTGGTGCATACCTCCTATGGTTCTGGTAGAAGTTATCAAGTTGATAGTACACGTAAATAGGCTGACTCATGTGTTTGGGCACCTACAACAGAACAAAGTTGCATGTCATAACCTTAAGATTAATTCTCCTCTGATGGTTCAAGTCAGAACAATAAGCTGTTCTGTCCTCTTCCTGTTTTCACCTTTCGGAGGAAGAACTCGATAAAGGACGGGACACACTACCTCAAGCGTTCTTGTGCAAGATTTGTCTGTTTCATTATTCTGAATATACGCAACCTTGTCATTAGTCATGTTCAGAGGCACACAGACATTATCATATCGGTCCACAATCTCGACAACCTGTCAAAGGAAGATGCATGCTCAGAAACAAAAGGCAACCAACATAACAAGAAGACCATGGAATTCCCATCCTGATATTTAGAAGCAAATTAGAGTTTACTATACATCATTGGAGGCCATTAGTGATGCAACGCCAATCGGAACAAATACGACACCGATGAGAGTGAATACAGATATCACCTACACAAGATGGTGCAACCATGGTAAGGTACATATGCTAGATTTCTGATGTGAGTTTCAAGAATACGGGAAGGAAAAAGCTGCTGAGTCTTACCCATTTTGGAGTAAGAATAGGTTTGCATGCTGGCAGCTCCTGCTGCGTAAACCTTGAATCTGAGTACACAATCGAGCGAGAATTAGCTTTTGACATGTCCGTACTTATAAGAGACAATTTCAGCATTCAGTTCAGCAAATACATTGCTCCGTGGAGGCAGATGAAATTGAGGTATGAACAAAACCGATACCTCTCTTAGAAAGGCCAAACAGATCTTTCGACGCAAGCAGCAGACCAATTAGGAATCAAATGAAATCTTGACAACTCAAAACCCAACTGATGAAGAAACGAAAGCATGGATTCCAAGAAAGAGGCAAAAATGATATTTAAAGGCGCATGAACAGCAAACAGCCCAGGAAAACCTCATCGCACCAAAAAGAATCAAACTTCCGCAACAAACAAGAAGAATCCAAGAACAACAAAAGAAAAGAAACGATCTTGACAAGGGATTACACTTAGGCCGCTTGGAGTTCCTCCTGGGAGCTGATCCATCCCCAGATCCGGAGCTGGAACCGACCACGGAACCGTTGACGTTGTTCATCCCAACAGACACGCTCGGAAGAGCCTCCTCGATATACAACGAAAGGTCGGATTTTGAGATCTGAAACTATAACGATCGATCGCTTCAAAAACCTTCAAGAACACAATAAAGCTGTCGATTCCCCGTAAAACTCCTCCTCCTACTAGTACCAATCTCTCTCTCTCTCTATATCTCTCGATCGCGTCTTTGTTTGACTGTGGAAGGACAAAGAACGGAAGAAGCAGCACCTTCCTCCCTCTTCCCGTCTTCGGCCGGCAAAGAAGACGTCTTCCAAACCCAGAGAGGTCAACACGGTGGCTTCTGGAGACCCAACTTCAAGTACCAAGCATTCCGCTCCCCTGTCCTGGAAGATTGGTGACCGCTTCGCCGACGGTGACCGTATCCCCACAAGGCCTAAAAAGAATAAACCTCAACTGGGGACACGTATTTTGGTACCACGGAAAGTGCGGGTCCCGCGACCACCAACTTGCTTTTCTGCACTCACCAGCAAGGAAGGGACGTGAGTACGCGCGAACCGAGTACGAAAAACATTGCGTGTAGATGAGCTTTCATTATACCTTGTTCGGGACGGAGTATTTATTTAATTTATTATTTTTTATTTTAATAAGAAGGATTAGTAACCGTGACTCGAGTCCACGTTTTATTCATGTGGTCAAAACACACGAATTAGGGCTAATTAATACAATAAATAATCGTCAGTTGTATTGAAAAAAAATATAATAAGTGATATCATATATTATGTTAATGTAAAAATTATGAATAAAAATATAATTTTAATATTTTTCTTTTTAACGATTTTATTTATAAAAAAATAATTTTAACATGTCAAAAATAAAAAAATAAAAAATATTAAATTATTTTTTTAATCATCACTCTTACATGGATCCTGTCATGTCACATGTTATTGATGATATTAGGATAAATAAGATTATTTATTTTATATTTAAAATTATAAAAAATATAATATACTTTTTTTTAAATATAAGAATCATAATATTAATAAGATCTAAAGGATAATACGAAATTAATTTTCATAAATTAGGAAATCAATTCCAAAATATACGATGCTCATATTATATGTTGAATAAATTTGTCAACTAGGCCTTTATTTTCTATAGTAAATTTAAATATTGCAAAATCATTGCATGACACAAGCCACGCCATCGCCATACTGGCATATTTCATCCTTCGTCCTCATTTATATTATATAAATATCTATACAATATAAAGATTTAAGAAGAATCAATGTACAGAATGTCACTCTTGCAAAAAAAAAAAAAAATTCTAGAACTTAAAGAAACAACATGAGATGTGACTCATAAATCCCTCTGCAGAGTTGAAATTTAAATGACAAACTCTTCTAAGAACTCAGAAACTAGATAATGATATATCAAATTCAGTTACCAAGGATTAAGACTCAAAACCTTATTCGATATATTTTTTATATTTAAAATATTAATATGATAGATCTGTGTCAGACCCACTTATCAAAAGTTTTGGATTCAAATCTCATCTTCATTATGTACTATTTAAAAAAAACTCAAGAAAGACAGATTTGAGGGTAAACACCTTCACCGAATGACTGCATATTAATTATCTTTGACCGGTGTGGAGAAAAAGTACCTCGATGTTCATGAAAATTTCTCAAATAAGAGCTCGTGCTGAATTCAACTTGAGCGAAAAATACGGGCTCTCGAAAGACTCTCATTCAGGCTCACACTTATCATGATTTTGATCTCTGTGTCTAAGTATTTCGATGCCTAAATAGTCGATGGTGCCATGGACAGCAACGTGAGGCTTCCCAACCATCACTCTGACAGCAGATATCTGAGGGAATTTGAGAAATGTGGTATTTGCGATCACATGAGCTACCGACTCCAAAAGATTTCGAGATGGACCCTCCACAACTTCCTTAACTAACCTGCACACCCATGAGAACGAGTAGTTAATGGACTCTATAAGATGGTGAAAACATTATTATTCTACAGTAGTAGTGATAAAATCACATGCAATTGAAGTGTTAGTTTTGTAGAACCAGAGATGAGAAACTTCTAACAATTGTAATTCAGTTGGCAAGATTGCTTGATGTTTCAAAAAGACCAGAAAGCTGTGACACCAGCAATATACTGTAAAAGGAAACATGTCATCTTGTATGCTAGTGAACACCGAGTGTCCAGTCGACAATAAGACAACCACCACACTTATATAAACAAGCCGCAAACTTTAGGAAGAACGGACAAAATATGGAACATGCATATATATATATATATATATATATATATATATATATATATATATATATATAAACTTCTAACAGTTGTAAATCAGTTGGCAAGATTGCTTGATGTTTCAAAGAGATCAGAAAAGCTGTGACAGCAACAATATACTGTAAAAAGAAACATGTCATCTTTTCTGCTAGTGAACAGAGTCTCCAGTCGACAATAAGAGAACCGCCTCACTCGTATAAATAAGCTGCAAACTATAGGAAGAATGGACAAAACATGGAACATGCACATATATGCATGTTCCATATTTTATATATATATATATATATATATATATATATATATATATATATATATATATATATATATATATATATAATTGTTATGCATCCGATCGATGAACTGCTGATCTAGAAGTCAGCCCTATGAACCAGAAACATTTGGTAAGATTGTGCTACATGCTTAATACAAGTGTGGTTCCACCAAATGGAGTTACCTTGTGAACTGTTTACTTCTATAATTACCAAAATCCTGGAAATGAATTTGGAGGAACCTGCACTAATAATAATTGTGAATAGGAACAATTGGAACATGCCATTGACAAGCTTTTATCATTATCATTACAAAGTTCTGTAACAGGATACCTGTAGGAGCATATAACTATATCATTGTGAAGGATACAAAGGGAGCCTATTTTTAAGGCTTTTCAAACCTTAGTAGATAAAACCAGCTTCATGTTTCAAACTTACCATTTTCATTTTTGTTAACTCTTCTCAAGTTCATCAAACCTTTAGAATTTTTGTGCCAATCATTATGTACCAGGATTGTTCTTCAGCATGCCACTCCATACAAGCTAAGAATTACACCTTACTATATGCCAGCACCTCTAGCACAGGTCAGCATGGCTCGTAGCAGTACCTTCTTGCATTGATTTGTTTCACATCATGCTGACATGTCTATCAGCACAACAAACCATGTTCTGAAATCAATTTAGATAGATGAGAGCAAAGCTAGAGTTGATGATGGTGCAAATGCATGCAGGCCTCGCATGTCCTGGTACACACAAATGCTAGTAAATCATGTTACCAAGATGTGATTGGCAGGCCTCTAGAAAAATGCGGTATGCCCATACCGTGCAAGTTTAGGATTGTCATGTTTGGAAAAATGACAAGTTGATCATTGTTTCTTAATTGGGTGAGTATAAGCAGGACGTCAACAGTTCAGACTGTGCTGGCAACAAGCCGGTTAACATGAACAAACAAGGAGGACAAAAGGAAAAAAGGAAAAGTTAATGTCGATAAAGAATAGAAAACCCTAATTCCACACAACAACCAAAAGAGACAAGCACACAAACACACAAACACACTATTAATCAACACAAACAACTTTGCCAACAGCAACTGCAGATACAACTAAGATGCAATATCAACTGATAAAAAATAGCTATTACTATTGCTAAAATTCAATTAACAAAATATAAATTTGGAACAATTACTGTCTCATTCCGATTGATAGAAGCTAGCATCAACATCAATGCTAAACTTTCATTGTCAAGATGAAAGGGGTAAAAGAAAAAGGAACAATTACCTATAAATATCGGTGTAGCTGACAGTGTCGGAAATATCATCAGATTTACCAGCATTGCTTAAGTCTAACCAGGCATCTACATCAACCACAAACTTTTGTCCTAGCTTCTTTTCCTCTGGTTTCACGCCATGAAATCCATGAAACTGTAAGCCCCTCAATATTAGCTTGTCTTTATTGACAAAATCAGGTTCACCCATGGATGGACCTGAGGAGATATAGATGATTTCACTTTTACTAACAACAATAACGAGAATATACCTTGATGAATTGGCAACATTACGTATTGCATGCAACAACAATTGAGGTTGTTTCAGCAAAAAATAGCATTGATGAAAGCCAAAAGAAACCAGATTTTACAAGATACATATCTTGAAATAGATATCCGCTGCTGCAGGTTTAAGGTTTACATCTGCAGGAGGCTTCAAAGGCCCAAAAAACATAGAAACTTGAGGGTCATCACAGTCATATTGCAGGAAAAACTTGCATTCATGATCCTTTTGTTTTAATAACTATATCTGAGTTCATGAACAAAATTCTTGATCAGTAGTTTGTTATATTTGGTGCAATATCTACATTCAGTCATCATCTCCCATTTTTAAAGTCACACTTTGCATGTTCCTCATGTTAGAATCAGTACCGGATCGTGATTTGCAATTTCTAAGGAAAGATGCCAGCAGATATGCAACTACGTCACCAAAGATTGTTAGAATCAGTAACATATTGCAATATCAGTTCTTTGAAAAGGAAAAAATCACAGCAGATATTTAATTATATCACCAAGAAGCAATTTTAAGATTCGAGTTCAAAGTACCATAAAGGATACAAGATGGAGGTGCAAGGATAAAAAGGGTTCATACAGCTAACCACAACAAATTGAAACTCTAATGTTCAAAGTACAAGATTCATACATTTATGAGTAGGTTAAGAATTTGTTCTATTGGTTTCTCGAATACTAATGCCATCTATAACCTAGGAACCGTCCATTTAAGGGAGCACGAAAACGTTGAATTAGATGACAATAAGAAAGAAATCGATACTAAATATTGTAAAGCAACCATCTCGCATATAAATAAATATATATGTGCCTACCAAAGAACTGTTGAGTGACCAGATCAGACGAAGGATTTCGATTTTTGTTTTGAAAAACTAGGTTGCGATTTTAACAACCAAAGTTTAAACAGCTAAATGAAACCCAAAGCTCGATCTTGAAGATCTACGAAACTATCTACTTCACTGGCTTCCACGACCAAATTAGAACAACCTTTTAATTGATCCTATCCGAAGGGGGCAGAGATTACCGGTGCCGAAACGCCTGTTGCTGTCTGCCCGACGAGCCGTGCGACAGAGGTATATGGCTTCTTTTCGAGTCGATGATTCTTCGGAGGTGGAGGCGATTATGATGGGGTTCGGCGCAGGCACGCGTGAACCCGAGTGGGGCCGAGACGCGTGCTCGTGTGGCACACAGCTTGATTGAGAGCGCCGCAGGGACATGATAAGATCAAAGCACCGAACATGCTTTTCCTCGCGCCCACTTTGATTTACCCGTGTTAAATATCCGCTCTGTGATTGGAGGAGGCTGTGACAGTCCAATGCGGGACCATGCTTATGGACCCACTCATTGGTGGGGTCCGACTCACATGGATTGCAGCAAGTCAGGAATATTTCGGCCCCACAAGTGGCCCACATTTGTGAGTAGAGAAGATTGGATCAATTTAGTCTTTTAGTTGAAAGATATATAAAGTGGTCTCGTCATGGCTCAACAAGAATTCAATGAGCAACAAATCCAGCATCAGAAAACTGTAACCAGTGAAAAAAAAGTACATTACAAACTGACCCAAGTGCTGTCTCCATGAGAGTAAGGATCAATGACCATCTTATTCCTAGTTGCATCAAACTACAATGTGAAAAGGTCTAGCACACAAGGATTAGATGAGACATTGTCATACAAAATAATGTCCTATCAAGAGGAAGAACCAGGCATGAAAGCACAACAAAATAACGATGACACAATTATTTATTGCGCTTAGTAGCACGTTTTCCTTGGCCCTTCTTTGGAGGTCCCTTCCCACGACGCTTCAACATTTCCAACTTCGCCAACCGCCTAACATAGTTAAAGAGTAGCAAAGATAAAAGTCAACCCAGATACGCAATTCAAATGAAGAAATTGATAATTGTAACTGCATTTGCACACAGCTGAAAAGACTTGTTACTTGCTGCTCATACAAAAAAGTTCTTTACAATGCTTTTTGGCAGAATCTGAAGCAGAAGATTTTAACAAAACATATATTGTCTAACCTGATAGATCAAGCACTTGATCACTTTAAGCTTACTTGGGATGAAAATAGGTACTAGTTACAAGACCCAATTATCACAAAAGAAACAAAAATTAACAGGGTTATATCAGTGTACTAAGATGAGATGAATATGCCCAATCAAGTTCAAAAGATGTAGGAAGCAGCATGCTGGAATAAATATCTGAACAAAATCAGGGAAAGAGATGGATGAGTGATCTTCAAACTCCACCTGTCTGTGATGTCAGAAATAAAGTTGAAGTGTCATGCTGTGTCGTATTTATTTAGCTCAAGCTTCAGAGTTTGAAATAAAAAACAGTCCTAATCAAAAGTGAACAATAATGTACATGTATTATATAAACAGCTTTACGGCAGAGTGCTAAAAGATCCAAGTATTTGAACAATAAACTTAAAGTAACTCCCGAATTTTATCAATGAATGTTCAAGAGATATAACATTGTCAAGGGATGGAGAAATTTAGAATGTTTGTGATTCTTATGTTATCGTTAACAACTATGAAGAGCAAAATGTTATAATATTTCATGAAATTAAAGTTCTGTTGAAGGTTCATACTGCTCGCCAAGTCTTTATGCATGTTGGTGTCTTAAACAAAGTAGCCACCATAATATTTATATTAAAACCACATTCCTGCTGCGATCACCACCTCAGTGGGGCAAGGATTATGGATAATATAAATGGATGGATAGGACACAATAAGGGTGAGTATCACATTAAAGACACTTAAACAAGGTTACGATTTAGAAGCTTATTAAGCTTGACTAAAAAGAATGCTACTGAAGAATTAATATTCGGGCATTAATACTTCGTAAGGAGCTTTCAGAATTATGAATTGACTAAAAATATTTTTTAATGTATGTCAAAGAAATCAACTAAAGATGATTGACGTAAATTCACCAAAACATCAAACAGGCAGATGAATAGACAAAGGCTCAAAAGTTTGCACAAATCCGAATATTTTGACAACTGACAAGCAGACAAACATCAAAATATTGATAAGAACAATGCAGGATCCTGCATATGTCTGGCATCTCAAGTGGCATCCTTTGATCGCAGAGGAGAAATGGTCCTCGAGGTTGTAAAACTTCAATGCAGTGATAATGGAGCAACCTCAGATGGCTCAATAGAAACTGTGATGTGTTCTAGACATGCAAGTTGCATTGAAATAAAATAATGAAGATGGAGAACATCACTACACAAGGGGGAACTAAATACAAGGACTGCCTTATTACAGTACAAGAATTGTAACTTTCATGATTTTTTTTCTTTTCTTTTCACTATGTTAGAATGGTTACTCGTCAGTTCCCAGGCCTCGCAAAATCTAATCCCAAGAACAATGACCAGCTTGTAGTTGCCAAAAGAGATTATGGTCACAGACTTACCCTGCAGCCTCAAGCTCAAATTAAGAAAAAGCACAGATCTGTTGATATCTCATCAATCATTCTATACAGAACCGTGATACAATTCTGTCAGCCAAGCACCAACTTATAAACGTTTTTCAACGTGTCTTATACGCGATTTGCAGACGACTATATGTAACACGTATAAGAAGCAACAGAAAACAAACAGCTACGGACACCATGTCACCAAAGCATTTCCTCACAGACGCATAAAGTCAAACAGGTAGCGCGCATCAAAGATCATGGAAGTCACAGAACAAACAGACAAATCGAGCAGCGAGAGAAGGTGGGCGTACTGTTTCTCCTCGCGGGCGATGACGAGGGGGTCGTCGTTCTTGATGTCGTAGGGGTACCACTGAGCGACCTTGTCGCCAATAAGCTTCTTTCGGAGGATCTTGTGGGGGGATCGCTTCCCCGTCGGGTTCAGGATGTGTCCAAAGATCCTCGCCCGCGCCTCCGCCACCCCCTGCAGCGCTGCCGCCGTCAACAGGTTCTTCAGGCTCATCCTCTCTCTCTCCCTGTATCTCACTACCTCCCTACGAATCCGCCAAACCTCCCCTCGAACAGTACTAGCAGTCTGCGCACTACCGTATTGATTTCTCGGCCCAACATTTGTAGCCCACTACCCTTCTTGCTATTGACCCACTTAGTGGGTCTCATACGAGAGACGTCGAGGCTGCTCTAAATCGGAGCCAAATCCGATAGGGTTACCAGAGAGACTTGAAGATTCACAATTGGTTACCAGATGATGGATCTACTATATTTGGATTTCGGGTTAGTGTGTTCCAACTCCGACAACGGTCCATGTTTACCCTGCAATAGACCCAAAGATGAGGTTATAAAAATATAAAGCAAAGTTCACATAAGCTAAACAGAACAAAAAATAGAAAAGAAAAGTTCGCTCGATTGGTTCGGGTTCGGATCTACACTGGTGGAACCCGAACCAGACATCGGTCACTATATATAGGCATACATTAAGGGGTTGTGTAACCCTTGGCGAGCCAACATCCGAATCCGCTCCCCGTCTTGCGGAGATCTCCGAAGGATATTAGAGAGACGACAGGGGAGGAGGGGAAAACAAGAGCGAGTTCGATCGGTCGGAATCGGAAAGCAAACGCGATCTAAGTATATAATATATTTAGATTAGGAGGAGGAGAGCGCGGGGTGAAGCGACCGTTGCGGTTTTTTGAATTCGTCGGTGAATTAGAGAGGGATTCGTCGAAGCTGCGGCCGCTGCTCCCACCGCCGACATGGCGGCGTCGGTGGAGAACCCGCCCCCCTCCTCGAACACCCACGTCGAGGAGACCAAGACCCTCATCGCCGCCCTCAACCTCCTCTCCCGCAACCTCCCCCTCCCTCCCGACGTCCTCCGCGCCGTCGCCTCCATCTACCATGCGGCCCACGCCGATCTTCCCTCGCCGACCCCGGAGTCGGAGGCGGAGGCGGTGGCGGGCTCTCTGCCGGAAGAGGCGGAGGAGGACGGTGACGCTCCTTCCTCCGGCGAAGAGGTAGTCGGCCCCGTCTTTCCGTAAATGTTATTTCTCTTGATTCTATTGGATTTTCTTGGACATCTTGTTGTTTCGGGTAAGCTAAGCGAAACAATCGACAAAAAGATTTAGTTTTATGGAAATTTGTCATCTCTAGGGTGGTGTAATGTTCTGCAATTATACTACTTTAGCCAGCGGTAGATTAGTCATTAACACATCAAATTATTTGGAGCCCAAGATAAGGCTCAGTCTTGTTATTCTTGGAGAGTTGTACTCGAGGTACGACAACAGGTGGGTTATGTGTTAGGCTTTCTTGTTGCAATAGATCGAGTTTTAAGATCTTAGGTAGTTTCTAGTGTCTCATATCAATGTTCGTGAGCCTGAGGTATTTAAGTGGAGACTGCTGGTCAAGATTCTAGAACATGGTGATGCTTTTTTGGCAATTGGGGTAAACTAAGTTAGGGTAGTTTTCTCAATCATCTGCAAGTGCATATTTGTTCGCATTAGTTTATGTGCTTTGACCTTCAAAGCCACTCATAAGGAGGTAACTTGGTCAGGTAGAAAGGCCAACTTTGACAACATAATGAGATGAAAGTGCATAACTTATGGAGAAAAGAACCATGAGTCTCATCTGCCTGATTTTCAATAGATCGTTCAACTATGGAAGCACTTACCCTACTTTATTCTACTTGTACTGTATACTATCATTTGTCTAATAAGGGATTTAACGTGAAGGCAAGTTAACAGCTATATGCATTAACAATTCATATTTATGTGATCACTTTTTCTGTAGGATCTATACTTGCAGAGTTATTATTGCTTGTTAGTGCATCTTATAATTTGATTAAAAGGGTTGCACCATTTTTTTTTTCAATTCATACCTTTTATGTGCAGATTCATTTGGATCCAACTGGTGGGACTTTGACTTCAGAGCTTGAAGATGCATTGTTAAAGCAGCAACTAAGTCGCATGTCTTGTTCAGCATTGATAGAAACAAAAGAAAGTCGCTTTAATGGTCTAATTCAGCATCGTCTTGCAGAACTTGAAGGTTACCGAATTTTGAATTTGTAATTCTTTTTCTTTTGAGCAACTAATTCACCTGAAGCATGTTTTGTTGAATATTTTATGAAACTGTTTTGTGTTAATCGGTATTTTCTCCATAAAAGTTCTCCTTTTAAATTGTTTATACTAGAGTATGTTAAACACTTAACTAGTTATTTGCAAGATTGTCTATTGACTGTCTTTTTAGCATTACTAAGTTGCTGTTGTCAGAGAGCTGGGCAGAAAATCATATCTTGCATTGAAGTTTGATCATCAAGAGTCTAAAAGTTATTACCTTCACATCGTTGTCTTGCCTAATGAAAATTGATGATTTGTATGTTTCTTGTACTTGAAGCGTGAAATAAAGTAGGAAACCATCAAATAATTCTCCCAATTTTTCTGCTTCAGATCTTTAGCATCGCATATGGAAAGGATGATACTAAATCACTTTAGATATTGCACAAGGAAAGGAGGGTGGGTTAACTTGTACTAGGCTTGGTAAAGTTAGTATTGGGAGTATGAATTTCGAGTCATGTGATTAAAGGCTTGTTGTTTTTATGTTATTGGTCTGGTAGGTCAATCATTCAAGTTTAATAATTTGTTCTGATAGACTTTGTTGATTTTTGTGTTGAACTATTGATAGGGGTGAAAGTGGGGTGGATGATATCAATCCAAATTTATCTTTATATTTGGGTGGAACCAAGGATTGAAATATCGTACCATATCGGAGTTTCGACATTCGCTCGGTACGGTATGGTACTATATACCGAGCGGTATACCGTTCGATATATATATATAATATAATATATTTATATATAATATATATATATAATTCGGTGACGTCGCCTCTCTCCTCTCCCTAGGCGGGGCAACGTCACAGAAAAACGAGGCAATGTTGCCTCGGCGACGCCGCCTCTCTCTATATATATATATAAGTAAAAAAATCTTATATATATTTATGTATACAAATAAAAAAGATTTTTTCGGCAACATTGCCGAAAAAGGCGATGCCCCTTCGCCTTTTTTGGCAACGTTGTTGAGGCGACGCGATGTCACCTTTTCTCGCCGGGGAGAAAGAGGCGACGTTGCATATTTATATAATATATATATATATATATATATTATAATATATATATTATATATATAATGCCGTTCGGTAGCGGGCGGTCCGTGTACCGGTTTGCTGACGGACCGGTATGTACTGCTCGGTACGAGCGGTATTATTCGAAATTGTAATCCTTGGGTGGAACCAGATACAATAAAATAATTTACACTTATTTCATATTCCTATTCGTATCTAAGTGTGGTTATCTAAAATTTTCTGCAAATAGATACAGATGAGTTGGGGCCAACCATGTTATGATATCTTTATTTCTGAACATATTTGGAAGTGTTCAATTTATCTACATTAGTCTAAGAAAATTTATTTTTTGATTGATTTCCTTTGTATTATATATATGTGTAGTACTTTCTCTTTGAGGAAAGAGAAAATATTCAAGTAAATTTTCTTTATTTTATTAGAAAATTCACATTTGTCTTGTGTATCAGTGTTACCGGCAACCAGGGGTGAAGACTTGCAAATGAAGTGCTTGCTTGAGCTCTATGGCTTAAAGGTAATAGAATAACTAGGAATATGTAATTATTGACTTATTAACAAGTTAGTTGTGCATTCATGCATTCTCTTCTCCATTTATGCCTATCAATGACTTATCTCATAATACTTAGCTAATTTTTGCTTTCATGTATGTTGCTAATGCATAGTATGGTTTTTTGATATGGATTTCCATGGATTAACCTTTTTTAATTATATTTGTTTTTGCATATTCTCCAAAAAAGATACACAACATCAAACTGTAGAAGATTATGAATTTTTTATTTATCACATTTAGATTCAAAAATGAATGTACAGTAATTCTATGATTATGATCAAAGAATATTCTTGAAAGAACAAACAACTAATTAAGAAATAATAAGCTACTAATTAGAAAGTCAATCAAGCTTTCTATGAGAGTGAAAGTTGGCTCTCACTAAGAATTTTCAAGTCCTGAATGATTTTAGTCATAGATGTACTTACTGAGCATATTTGAAGAGTCTAGTACTTGTGGATTCCTTGCTGATAACATGAAGTTTGAGTATTCTAAATTATCAGATAATTTGATAAGTGGATGAGTCAAAAGGAATGTGTAAACGTGGATTTGAGTTTCTGAGGGCTTCTATTGTGCCATATAGTTCATTGAAGCTGAATTACCTCCTGTTGTCAGAAGTCCACCACATGCCTATGGTGTGTCTAAATACCTTTTTATTTAATGCTGGCTTGTCTAGCATTTTAAAAAGGCACTTGGGCGCTCGCTTAGCTCACATAATTGTCGGGCGATGCACTTCAGTGAAGCGTTGCCTGGGCACTCACCTAAGCCCAAGCGTCGGGCACCTCGGCTGGGCTCCCGATTGAAGGCGAGCAATTGAACTAGATGGTCAACTTTGGTTCGGTTAAATAGTAACTTGGTTTAATCGAACTAATTAAGCACAATAAATAGTAGCAGTAACACTACCCCCCCTTATGCAACCCCTGACCCATAAACCCTAGGTATTTTGTTGCCCACCCAACTCACCTCTAGTCTGGTAGCTGCCTTCGTGCGTAGCCACTAACTCTGCCATCGATACCCATGTTTGACACTTCCTTTGCCGTTGACGGATAGGTCTGAAGTTTGTGTTGTTGTAGCTTTCGTACGTAGTTCCCTCCGTCATCACTACTTCCGTGTGTAGCTCCTTCCGTTGTTGAGGGATAGGACTGCAACTTTCTCCGCTATCGAGAGATGCATTTGAAGCTTCTTCTGCCCTCGATGTTGCTGTCAGTAGCTTCCTCCACCATAGCTGCCATCGTTCGGAGGTTCCTCTATCACCGTCACCCTCTCCTTCCCCATGTTCCACCATCGGTTACTCTTTTTCTCCCCCTTTATTGTTATGACTACTGTTAACAGTGGATTAAGTACTATTAACAATGGATTTTTAAACCTTAACTGATATTAAAACTACTATTAGCATATAATAAACTAAAATTGATATTAATCTTTAGAACCGTTGACCTATTTAGAACTAATTCTTATTTAGAATTACTAATCCTTACTGATCATTGTTAATCGTTATTTAGCAAGGTTCACAATACCATGGTGTACCGCTCGGTATAAGTGGTGCATACTAGTCCGATAGGGGACCGGTACAGGTGGTGCATCAGTATAACCTCATGTATCGTGTATCGGTACGTTCAATACGACCCGGTATAGCTCGGAACGTACTGTACCGATAGTTGGTCGGTACATCGGTATGGACCAATAAGACAAACCATTCTATTTAGAATTGTTATTTGTCCCTATTTAGCACTATTAATTTTTATTTATTTCGATTTTAGAATTGTTATTAGGGTTTTAGGATTAACGACAAGTGTACAAAGGAATACAGAAGATTCATCAAAGAATTCAATTTCATGTTGCATTTTTATGTATATAATCATATTTATCAATTATATTATATATTTTTTATATTTTAATATTCTAAAGCGCCTCGCTTCGCTCGGATGAGCGCCTAGCGTCGTGGGTGTTTTGGAACCTCTAGCCTAGCGCTTTTAAAAACACTGTTGTTTGATCATTGTGCTCAACTATAGGTGCTTGCTCGAGTCATGTAGAGAAAAGTAGAACACTTTGGTTAAGTACCTTCAGTAATTCAGTTGTCCTTTTATTTCCTGATTTATCTATTTCATGTACCTTTAGGGCTTTTCGGTATAAATGGATAGATATTTCCGTGGGAATTAGACGGGATTTCATATTACATAAACAAATTATAACAAAAATATTTCTTCTTTATAGTATTTGAACTTAAAAAAGAATGGGTAGAGAAAATGAAAATGTACCATGAGGTAGAGAATTTGTTTTTTCTTTCCTTTCTGTTGTTAGAATAGAAGAAGCAAAATTATCTTATTTATTTTAAGAACTTATAATACTGGCTGATCAAGAGTGCATCTATCAGTTATCCTATCCTTTTCAGATGGTGTGGTCAAGAGGATGACAAAGGTCATAGGCTGGAGATCTGATGATTTGTTGATCATAGTGTCAAAAACTGCTAGAGAAGCAGTGTTGATGTTAGTGGAAGGATTGATAATGAGTAATCTCAAGAGGGTTTTCATTTTAAGGGAGTCCTATTTATAGTCAAAATTTGTCCGTAACCATCATCTGTGAAATTTTGGCTGAAGAAAGGAATAGATTTGCAAGAATTTATGGGAATAAAAAGGGAAGAAAGATTTCTTGGCTCATAAGGATTACCATGTTGAGACATGCTTAGTCGCATCACTTTTGCAATTTGCTGGCCAGCATGTAGGTGTTCCATTGGTGTAGGTACAGTTTATGCTGTACAAGGAAATTTATGGGATGTTCATGCCATGTAGTGTCATACGTATGTGTATCAATATATTTATTGCGATAAAATCAAATATGATTTTTTAATTTAATTTATATACAAATCTGCATCATCTGATGAGTTCAAAGTTTGATCCAAAAGTTATTTATTGTCCAATCGACTGGCATGAGTTGGCATGGGTTGTAATGTATTAAGCTAGAAAGGTGTCAGCATTTTTATACAGCCATGTTGATTTACTGGTGCTTTGTTTGTGGTTCTGAGTTTTTTTAATATATGTTAAATGAATCTTGGGTAACTGAAGCAATTCAATTGAAAACTGTCAATCTAACCCAATCTGATCTATTTTCTTATTCTGATCACTCTAGTTCAGGGAACCTGCACTCGAGCAGGTCAGGTTGGTTCTGGTCAACCTGGGCAATCTTACATTTTTGCTTCCTGACTTTAAGCTTATTCAAATCACAACCAATTGCCACTATAGCTGCAGTGAAGAAGCTCATCAAGTATGAAGTTTGATTATTTCATGTGCTCAAGGTGTTCTCCAAGTATCTTATCTTGTTCCATGACTAGTTTGACAGACTTTGGTCAAGATGTTCTCTAATGTCAAAATACATGAATTAAAGATTAACTTATGAAGCAATTATTTTAAGGTAGTTAATTTATGTATTTATATTCATGGTTTTCTTTTGTATAATACATGCCAAAATACAGAGTTTTCATAATACCTGGTCCTTGTTTACTCTTTAATTCTATAATGTTGTCAGATGCCATTGTTGGTACTTGGTAGAGACTGCTAGGATGGATTTGAGTTTTTATCTCATTTAGTTGACCTTCTGTTTCTTTTGGAGATGTTGATAAAGGCTAAAACTATCCTCATGGCCAAGAATTCTTTTCTTTCTTTGTCAGTTAGTGGAATTGCAGAAGAAGGTGCGTTCTGATGTCTCTGCAGAATACTGTTTAAACAAGAAATGTGCACATCCAGAAAAACAATTGTTTGACTGGGGAATGATGAGACTACGATATCCTTTTAACATGTATGGTATTGGAGACAGTTTTCGAGTTGAGGCTGATGATCGTCAGCGGAAGAAAAGATATGCAGAGGTTGTTCAACTACCAATTAGTACTTTCTGAAGTTCTTTCTTTCAGTTATTTAATGGAAAAGTGTAATTACTTTGTTTTGCATTACAAAATTTCTCATTGCAGAGGATGTCAAGGTTGGAAGAGGATGAAAAGAACCAGGCAGATATCAGAAAGAGGAAATTTTTTGCTGAAATTCTTAATGCTGCCCGTGAATCTCAGTTGCAAGCGCAAGCTGTTCTTAAAAGACGAAAACAGCGAAATGATGGAATTCAGGTACAAATAATATTTTTACTTAATAGTTTTTTGAGACTTTTCCTTTGGGAATTATGTTATTTCGATTTTGAGATTTTTGCATTTAAATTTCGTCACCATCATTCATTCTTTTCTTGCTTTTATATGATAGATATATTAATTATTTGCAACTCTTTGGCACTACAGGCATGGCATGCAAGGCAAAGGCAACGTGCTACACGTGCAGAGAAATTAAGGTTCCAAGCATTAAAAGCTGATGACCAAGAAGCATACATGCGGATGGTTGAAGAAAGCAAGAATGAGCGCTTGACAATGCTCCTTACAAAAACAAATGAACTACTTGTATGCCTTGGAGCTGCTGTGCAGAGGCAGAAGGATGCAGATGGGCTTGAAGCTCCAAAAAGCTTAGAGTTTGAAAATCTTTCAAAGAACTCTCTCTCTACTAGTGAAACCCCAGGGGAGATGTCATTAGATGATGACAATGATTTCGTTGATGCGGATTCTAGCCAGAATAAAAAAGCAAATGATTTGCTCGAAGGGCAACGTCAATATAATTCTGCTGTTCATTCAATTCAGGAAAAGGTATGGAATAAGAATTTTATATTCCAGAGCTTCTTTTTTCTTTTGCTATTAACGGCTGTTGCTTAGGCTACATCATTTTAGGTCATTTATTTAGTATAAATAACTGTCTCATTGCATATCTAGATGAGAACTTAGCTACTATCAGAACTGGTTAATTTTCATAATACCAACTGGTTAAACTTGCACCGGCCCTTGGTGGTCAGGGAATTAAATTCCAGTTGACCCAATACAATACAAACTGGTATTTAGTGATCCGGCCAAGGATTGGTACTGAACCATATAAGTCAGTACCAATTGATATTTGATTTTCTCTTATCATTTGCTGTGATATGAGGTGATACAGGTTGGTAGACCACTTGATATATCCGCTCCATACAGGTCTAACTGGTCACAAAACCATGTGCTTTATGATTCTGAGTCACGGAAATAGATTCTGCTTATGAGATACAAGAGTGTATATGTTTGACCCTTCTCAAGCTCCACAGCTGTGGAGCCTTATCATCTAAGGTGAACCCAGTAAAGCAGTTGAGAATGAGTTCATAAGATGTAATTGAAGTTAAATAGGTCATTTTTTTGGCTGATCCTTCTGATGTTTCAAAATTGGTGAATATAGAACTTTATCCAGCCAGTTCTTATGAGCTACATGATTTGTACTTCCTCTACCTTTCAACTATGTTTATGCTCTATAATATGCTAAATATGATATAAAAATCCTTTATATAATTGCTTAACATAGTCTGATTGTTGCCTTCATCGTATGGATGAAACATTTTGCAACTCATCCAATAGCATTATTGCTGGAAGTACAAGAATACAGTGAAGTTTACATGTGCTAGGGGGGAGTAAGCTTGTTCATTGTTTTTTGCGTTTTTTTTTGTCATTATAATCTGTGGTACTTGGATTTTAAATGTTTTGCATTATGGTTAAAGTTGGACTAAACAAGGGGAACTTCAGAGATTGACAAAATAGATGGATATAAAGCTGAGTGTTGTCTGCAAGTGTAATTGTGGAATAAAGAGTTGAAAGGCCTCCTTGTTATTATAATTTCAGGATATTACATAGATTTTCAGTTATAACAGATATAATCAAGCAAAATTTCAGCAAAATACACTAAGTAAAACATAAAACTTTAGATAGAATCAATCACTAATCAATGAAGAATTAACACTTGAAGTTCAAGGAAGAAATTAGTTGTTGAGTCGGTGCCCTTAAAGTATTTTGCTTAGACTGTGCATTCATAGAGATATAACAAGTTTTGTAATCTTTCTCTGTCTTAATCAATCAAATATTAAACAAATTTAAGAATCAATCCAACTTTAATAAGAAAAGATGAAAAGGAAGAGGCTGAAGGATCAAGGGCTAGGTCTGATTTAAGATCAAATAAGAGAAAGTTGTTCAAGCTAATTTGGACATGGTAAAGAAGACCTGTAAATGCAACGGTCAGATGAGGTGAGCCATTCAAATTAGGGGTGCAAGGATAAACAAATGAAGCCTTAAAATACCTTGATACAGACAACAAAAAGGAATATGATGTTTTTTTTTTGTTGACTAGTAATGTTACATAGATATAACTCAATGGTGGAAAAATCCATGTAGCTGACAACAGCCTGTTGTTATTCCCATGGCTTCTTTCTTTTTTAATACTGACTCTAGCAAGTATCATGCTTCGTTTTCTTTTATAGTACTCTTCTTTTGTTTTTTCTCTAATTGCACAGTTCTATTCTTATAATCTGGTGGGATTTATAATCTAATCTAATGGCATTAGAAATGGTCTTCTGGAATCTGTAGGTAACAGAGCAGCCATCACTACTTCAGGGTGGGGAGCTTAGACCTTATCAGTTAGAAGGACTTCAATGGATGCTTTCACTCTTTAACAACAACCTAAATGGCATTCTGGCTGATGAAATGGGTCTAGGAAAGACAATCCAGACCATTTCATTAATTGCATATTTAATGGAAAACAAGGGTGTTACTGGCCCACACTTGATTGTAGCTCCAAAAGCAGTATTGCCTAATTGGATTAATGAATTTTCAACATGGGTACCCAGGTACGTCTGGTAAAATTCAGCAACTGTTTCAACATGAATGCCTAGTTTTTTATAACATTCTGTTTATTTTTGTCAGTATTACAGCAGTACTGTATGATGGACGTCTAGATGAAAGGAAAGCAATGAGGGAAGAATACTCCGGGGAAGGGAAGTTCAACGTGATGATTACACACTATGATCTGATAATGAGAGACAAAGCTTTTCTGAAGAAAATTCACTGGCACTACATGATAGTTGATGAAGGGCATCGCTTAAAAAATCATGAATGTGCTCTTGCTAAGACACTTGTTTCAGGGTATGTCCTCCATCACTAGCTAAGTTATATAAGCTTGGTTCAATCTATAGTTGATGAGTACTGGGTATGCTTTGTCTATGACATAAAAATGCTTCAATTTAGTTCTGGAAACAGTAACACCTGCTGCAGTTGCATAAAGGATACATAGCATAAGCAATTTGATTTGCCAATCAATCACTGAAGAGTATCTTGAAAGGTTTAAGCTTTCTGTTTAGTGGAAAAGTCTTAAAAATACTGGTCCATGCTAGATACTGTCTTAGTATTAGACCAAAACAGTATGTTGGCTAAGGCACATATACAGATGGAGACAACAATGAAAAAGAGAACAGGGGATGCTGGTTAGTTAAAAATCTTTCATCTTCCTCTTTGATTATTGCTGGTGATCAGAATGGGTGCTGGAGATGGAATCTGGAGGTGAGAGTCAGAATCTCCTCTTCCTCTTTTCCCTTTTGGTCTTTGTTTTTCTTGCAACCTTTTAAGATGCCTCCAACTTGTGATTGAGCTTTAAAGATCCAAAGGCAATGTTGTTGTGAGCCAACTTGGAAAGTAAATAGTCAGGTTGATGTACCTTGCAACTTATAAATTTAAAGGAATTACTAGTGGTTTAATATCTATAGAACTGAGTGCTCCTGGATTTAGCTGTTGCAAATTGTTCCAGTTTGTCATTATTTGCTGTTGATCAGTTAGCACTTTTTGGTGATAAAGCACCATATAGCTATGGCCATTGCTCGATATTGAAAAGCTTTTTTTTTTCTCTTGAACATTATTCCTATTGGATCAAAATTCTGAAGGTTGCTTGGTGGTTGACCTAAAATTGATAACCAATATGCAGTACTTCTCACCTCCCTTTAAGGCACTTTTGGGTTTTATGGCAAGTTTCTATTATGTCTAAGTGAACTTGTACAGGACACAACCGTAGTGGTAACCTGAGTTTAGCATTTTTTTGACGTGGTATCATTTGTATATGAACTGACTATAAGTTTTGGACTCTCTTTTACTTCTATCATATTTTATTTTATACTAATGCTTTAGGAATCCAATTTAAGATTGTCTTTTTTTTCTTTTCGATTAATGCTCTCCCTTTAATCTCCTAATTTCTTATTTGTTACTCTCTTCAAAACTCGTAATTAAGATTTGAGGGTTCTCTTATGTCCAGCTATCGTATCCGCCGGAGACTTCTTTTGACTGGTACTCCAATACAGAATAGTTTGCAGGAGTTGTGGGCATTGCTTAATTTTCTTCTACCGAGTATATTCAATTCAGTGCAGAATTTCGAGGAATGGTTTAATGCGCCCTTTGTGGATAAATGTGAAGTTTCTCTTACAGATGAGGAACAACTGTTGATTATTCGTCGTCTTCATCAAGTAAAATTTGATGCTTACATCTTCTGTCCTCTGGTTTGTCTTTATCATGATAGCACCTTGCCTTATAAGATTATTAAAAATCTCAGGTTATCAGGCCATTTCTACTGAGAAGAAAAAAGGATGAAGTGGAAAAATATCTACCTAGCAAGATACAAGTCATTCTAAAATGTGATTTATCTGCTTGGCAAAAAGCATATTATCATCAGGTTACTGACATTGGAAGGGTTGGACTAGAATCTGGTATGTTAAAACATGATTTTTTTCATTCTTCTAATTGTTAAAAATGACATCCTTTGGTGTTGCTCCACATTTTTTCACAATGAGACATTATGTTATCTGGATATGTTGAATTCACTGTCAATGCGGTGAGCCCATAAAGAGCACATTGGCAATATTACCTATGCACTTGTGCAAAAAGGTTGGAGATTATGCACCTTTTGCTTTTTTAAAGTGGTTAATATGAAGCTTCTAAACTTCGCAAACATATGCTTTTGTTCCAAAATGCATTTTTTCTCTTTCATGCAAACAACTACTACTACAAAATCTAGCGCTGGGTTCCCAACTATACAAGTTTCTGTTTGATTACATGTATCTTTTTGCATAGCTGAGCTCTGTTTAGGATAGTATCCCTAGTATAATATCGCTTTTTATTGTTTATAATAAATATCTCCTAGGTTTGTTTATATTTCTTCTTAGACCACTAATCTAATTAAATGGTCTTATCTGATGGAAGAATCTATTATTTTTCTTTGGTTATATATATCATCCTAAAAGATTTTCTCTTATTTTTATCTTCAACCGTAGTTATTTCTAGTTGGTCATAAATGTAAAATTTCTAAATTCTATCTTTTTCATTATCTATCTCAACTTCCTCTTCTAAACAACACTTCGTTTCTTGGCTACCAAGCATTTCAAATCATAAAATATGATTTTTATAGCCATTTAACAAAATTTATCTTTTAACCTAAGTAGCATATGATTATTATTAAAAAGAGAAGACTTGTGATCCTTTCCACCGTAACCAATCTGCTTTCAACTTGATAAATATTATCTTCAATAGTCTCATTGTCTTGCTGAGTTTGTAATAGGCATTAGTGGATCGAATCCTTAATAGGCACTGAGGAGTGTGTGTGCACATATTCCACCATAATAATTTGTATGTGGTTAATGCCAGACTTGAAGCCTGCTCTTAAACTTTTCTGGTGATTAGGTTTGTTGATTGTGATAGAGTTGTCACATTCCTTTTTTCAATGATTGTCACTAATTGTCAAAGTTTGTACTGTTAAATCAAAATGTTTTTTTTCCAAGAACAATTGTGTTTGCTACTTGTTCATTGTTCACTGCTATAATGTGGTCAGATTTAAGGATTGTTATGTCAGTCGAGATGGGCCAGCTCTTTCAGAGCTGTGCCAACAGATGGACAAAGCCAGTTTTTGCTTATGCTACTTGTCAGAAGGGGTATGAGAACCAGCCAGGCACAATAAGTACGGTGTCATCATGTCTGATTAAGACTTATTCAGATCATTTTATGGGTGAAATATCAAGTTTCTATATAACTCATAATTAGGTCTGAAGACTCTGAACAATGATGTGAACTGTAATAGGCAACTCACAAAGTGTCACTCATGATAAACCTACTTAAAGACATATTTACATGGGCCGAAACACCACACAATATGGATCCTGTAATCATCTAAAAGTTCGAGCATAGAACCAACCCATATATGTCCCAGTTACAATTTAAATTTATGGATTCAACCAGACATGACTTAAAATTTTGAACTATAGCCTAGATCTATGGTGTACCTGGGTTGCGGGATCCTGTTCTAAGATCTATGATCATCTTGTATAATTTTCTGCTTTAACCACATAGGAAAGAAAAGCGGTAGTCTTTAGGCCACAAATCTATTTGTCACTTAACAAATATTTCATTTTGGTCTAATGCCTCACAAATTGGTTGTTATTTTATTGTTTGACTTTTGTCTCTTTAATGAAAGTATGAAATATCTCCATCATCTTGTCATTGAACTTTTGTGTTTTCTGTATAAGTATGAACTATGATTTATCCTCAAAATCTTTGATGTGGTCTATTTTTAAATATTGGAGAGGATTTCTTTATGTCCATAAAAATGTGGTGTGACCACTACTTCCTTCTTTACTTTTCTATAGGCATGAAAAAATGCATATGTGCTCAACACTAAGCAAACAACCTGATTTCTAGCTACTTAATGAGTTCCCCGAGCTCAATATTTGGTTGCAAAGACATTTAAAACTATCATAACCTGATTTCTAGCATTTTCTATATTCACAGTAATGCCCAACACTAAGTAAACAACTCTAAATGTGACTAAAAATCATTGGACTAAAGCAGCTAATCAGTCTTTAATAAAGCGCCTAATCATTGGACTAAAAATCAACAAAGCTGTCCAAAAATAAGACAATACCATCCAGTTTGACTCAGAACTACACGACTCAATCCAATACCTCATGAACTTTTAGTATCCTTTTTGGACAGCTTTGTTGATTTTTAGTCCAATGATTAGGCGCTTTAGTATCCTTTTGTTAAACATTAATTTGCTCCCTACTTTAGTTCTTCTACAGTCATTTCACAGATTCAAGACAAATATGTGCTTTGACACTTTGCAGGGTTTAGTTTAGAACCTTGCATTTTTATAACTGAATTGAGCATGGATTTGGAAGGAAAAAAAAAAAAACTAGCTGAACTTAGCATATTGTAATCAAATTTTCAGGTCCTTGTGTTATTTTGAAATTTCAAGACTTCTTCTCTTTTTTTGAATATCTAGTTGTTAGGTATTTTACATTGGACTTTTACTGTACCAGACCACTTATCACCACCACCAGCTGACACTGAAACTATTTAAATTTGCATGTCTGTATTCTGAAGATATGTGTGTTTATAAACTTGTACTAATATAACTTAGTTGCTTTTTTAAATGACACCTGTATTTTACTGCATATTTCCTGAATATGATGAGCAAAGATGACTCAATTTTCTATATGTTTTTCGCTTGCAAGTTATCTCAATAGAGTAAGATTCTTGTTCCATTTCCTCCTCCTGTGATGTTGACTAATAAAATTTAAATTAATTATATAGACCAAAATTAGTACTAATTTGCCTGTTTTACTGTCTTATTCATGTTAATTTATCATTGTGTGGGTTGTCTTTCATTGTCCTTGTGTATTTTACATTGAATGTATTACCTTTCATCTGCCATGCATGACTTTTACATTATATATATTACCTTTCATCTGCCATGCATAACTTATTTTTCATTATCAACAACATTTAGGAATAAAATCAAAGAGTCTTCAGAACTTGTCAATGCAACTCAGGAAGTGCTGCAATCATCCATACCTATTCGTAGGGGATTATAACATGTGGCAAAAAGAACAAATTGTTCGAGCGTCAGGAAAGTTTGAATTGCTTGATCGTTTACTTCCAAAACTGCAGAGGGCTGGTCATAGAGTGCTACTTTTCTCCCAGATGACAAAGCTTATTGATATTCTAGAGATCTACTTGCAGTTATATGATTTCAAGTACCTTAGACTTGATGGATCTACAAAAACTGAAGAACGGGGGACATTACTCAAAAATTTCAATGCCCCAGATTCTCCCTACTTCATGTTTCTCTTGAGCACCAGAGCTGGTGGTCTTGGATTAAACTTGCAGACTGCAGATACTGTTATAATTTTTGACAGTGATTGGAACCCTCAAATGGACCAGCAAGCGGAAGATCGTGCCCATCGTATTGGACAAAAGAAGGAGGTGCGAGTCTTTGTCTTGGTTAGTGTTGGATCAATTGAAGAGGAAATCCTGGAACGTGCAAAACAGAAGATGGGGATTGACGCTAAAGTTATCCAGGCAGGGCTATTCAATACGACTTCGACTGGTTGGTTACTTGTGTTATATCGGAAAGCTGATTGTCACGTTCTTTGGAAATGCTTGTTTCCCTTTCCTTTCAAATGAAAAATTGAGATTATTGTTTGTTTATTCCGTGCAGCACAGGACAGGCGGGAGATGTTGCAGGAGATCATGAGAAGAGGGACAAATTCACTTGGGACGGATGTGCCGAGTGAGAGAGAGATAAACCGCCTAGCGGCTCGAACCGAAGAGGAATTTTGGTTGTTTGAGAAGATGGATGAAGAGAGGAGGCAGAAGGAAAGATACAGGTCAAGGCTGATGGTGGAAAATGAGGTACCTGATTGGGTGTATCCTAAAACCAATGAAGACAAACCCACAGTGAATCTAGGTCAAGATACTCAGGGCAGTGAGGTCAGTGGGAAGCGATCCCGTAAGGAGGTCGTTTATGCTGATTTACTGAGTGATGTACAGTGGATGAAGGCTGTAGAGAGTGGAGAAGATTTGTCCAAAATAACTTCCAGAAGAAAGAGGAAAGAACACCCTTCTGATGCATGTGAGTCTGCCTCTGAGGAGGTTGACCGGCAAAGCATGTCTGAGCATAGGAATGTTAACAAATATATACTTGATGAGGATGTTAGTGATGACTCACCAGTAAGATTGAAGTCTGGCCTACTTCACAACAAAGATGAAGGTGAAAGTGATGCCAGCAGTTGGCCTGACAACATTACTTGGAGGACCCACAAGAGAAAACGTTCAAACCATGGACTATCGAGTGCACATAGGATCTAAATGACTTCTAACATGATTGTTAATTTGGTTGAAATTGATTGACAGCAGTTGATAAAAGCAACTATCAAGAGGTAAATGCTTTTACTACTCGTTATTTACTGACCCATTTCTTATTTCTTAGATAAGGGGGAAAAAGAACCTTAATATTGTGTTGTTTCTCTCTTGTTATTAACTTCAGATGTACTTACCGTCCAAGATGAGCTGCTTCATGACCTTTGTATAGAGATTTAATAGTTAATGTAGCTGCCTAGGACGGGATCTGACAAGGGCTGGTGTCTAGCTATCTTAGGCCAAGTAATCTTCATTTCTATTATATGGACATGAGCCGTAAGTGATTATCAGTTATCTATCACGACAGTGGAAAACTACAATTTCCTTCTTAATATTGCAGATGATCCAGTTATTAACTTCTTTCGTTCTGTGAACAAATTTGAGTACTCGTGTATCTTTTTATTTATCCTGAGACTTTTTTCTCCTTTAAGTCAGTCGGGCTAATTGCATACGGTACAAATTATATGTCACTTTGATCTCTATTCGTGGTTGACTGTTTTTATAGTTGGAAGTATGGTTTCTCAGATGTTTTTTAGTTGAATTCTTGAATTCTCACATTGGTGATGAAGCTTTCTTTATTATCAGCATAGATGCAGTCAAGAGTACGAACTCATGCAGAGTCTGCCAGTCGGCGTGCCAACCGTCCCTTTATAGTTGCCAAGTAAACAATCACATGGCATTTTGATGGTTCTTGTGACGCTCAAGATGATTTATGAAAGTCTTCATGTGTTGGTAAGATTCTTAATACCAAAGGCTGCTCCTGTTGGTCTCTCCTACTGATACCGTTTTAACTCCCATCTGCTTATCCATGTCGAATGACATGTTTTGATTATGCCTATGCAACAGCAGTATGCAATCTGTTTCCTGTTGTAGGATGGCAGATTGTGGGAGAATTAACAGCATGCGTGACTGATCCACACGAAATGGTGCTTACCGTTGTTGTATGTTTGTTGATGGTACTGATTGCTGGACATGGGACTCATTGTTACTTTTGTCGATGAAATTGATTGCAGGACATGATATCATCATTGTTATCATTTTTTGCTCATTAACTTATCTGGTGGTACCTTTTGGGTTGTGAACTTTTGTTTTATGTTAACTATGATTTTTGTTCATTAACAGGTGTACTTACCCTTAATGCTCATGAAGATGTTCTTTAAAAGTTTAAATCAAAACTGGCCAGTTGGCAAGATCAAATATCTATCACAATCAGGTTGGCTTGTCTTGATTAATACTGTTTTGACCTCTATTCATTCCTATGCATGCTTCAAGTGTCATTTAAGGTATCACTTGGATGCTTGATGTTATTATTCAAAAAATTTAAACCTTAATCAAAAATTATTTTGACAGAATAAAGTTCACTCTAAAGGTCTTCACTTTATTAGATGGGAGACCAAGGTGGTCTGAAAGTTCAGTTCATAGCATTAGAAGTTTGAAAAATGCTCTTCAAGATTATTTATGTTAAATATGACACTGTTCATCCTTGGAATATATCCAAACTCCGAGTTGGAGTTAGGAATTGTTCAATCTTTGATATTCTTACATAATGTTATATGTAAGAATATAATATCGATATGATATTGATTTTTTATAATGTTGTATCTTTACCCATAGATGCTAAGGTTGATGCGTTTATTCAATCTGGTAGGGTAGTTGGAATTGTCGATTGGGTATTGGATTTGTGCACACATTACTTGTTGATGTCATTAAGGTGATAGAAATTACGGAACATCCTTGTGATGATATTTGGATATACATAGGTTACCTACAACTAACTACCAAGGGAGCTTATAATCTAAAAACAATGATCTTATTCAGAATTTGGTATGGCTGGATTTGCGTGTGGAAACTTCCTACAATCCCAAGAATTCAAATATTCTATTGGAAACTCATTCATAAAAAGACTTCCAACCGATTATAAGCTTTTCAAAACTCAGTTTACAGATTCGTAAGTTATTTTGAGTCAGTTGATTATATGAGATTGGTGGCTAACATATATATTACATTTCACTTTTGAGCATAAGCGTACATGGATTCATGGTGATCGGTTGAAGGAAGACAATAGTATAGATTCAAGTAAACTCGTTAGCCATTGCAAACCAATTCATTTGGAAAACAATATTCAAACCTTCCATTAAATGGGTTGTGGCTCGAGCTTTCACTTTCATGCCCAAAAATAATCTTTGAAGCAATGTTATCGAGCAAAAAAAACTATTCAGCTTTCATGGCTAAAATCTTTGATGGTTTTGTGCTTTCCAAGGATGGGGGGTTGGCTTCATATTGAGAGAACACGGAGGAGGAGGTTTTGTTGCAACGCAGTAGAGCTTCGGCATGTCCATAATAAATCCGTATTAGACTATGAATCATTGGCTGCAAAATTAGGATTGCACTTTGCAATTAACAAAGGCTTTGATTCAGCTACAAATTCGAACTGATTCGACTACATTATCAGATCTGCTAACAAGTGACGAACAATCACTTTCGACATCAAACTACTTCTATTACTTCTCCATTATTTTCAAATAAATAATCCTCGACTTAAGGCCTCAGGCTTATCTCAAAGCAGAAACCACCTATAGACCTTCCCTAGAGTCTCATTTTTTTTTTTTTTGACAATGTTTGATGGAACCATTATTTATTTGAAAATAATGGAGAAACTGGACTGCATGCCCAACTAGCCTTACCAAATATTACAACTTACAAGAAAAAAATCCATATACATATATACATATACATATATATACACATACACATATACATATACATATAGAGAGAGAGAGAGAGAGAGAGAGAGAGAGAGAGAGAAGTTTAGTCAAAATTAACAAGCAACAGAGTCAAATTTTGGCACATTTTTTTCTCTTTTGATATCTCTCAGTCTTGCAGGTAGTTTGTTGCCTCTTACTTCTTTCTATTCACAAGTCTTAAAGCTTTTGCATGGATGGTAATACTGTGGGGTCTTACAATAACACATTCTGCTTTTACCTCTCCCTCTGCAAGCAGCCCCAGAGAACCTGATGCACGATATTGTAACAAATAGATTACAGCAAATATCACTTGGACATAACTCAGGAAGACTAAACAGGTAGACAACAAATATCACACGTACACTTCCTGCAATCTAAAATAGCTAAATTGCATGCCAAATTAGTTCCAGATAGTGGTGCATATGCAAATGGCGTCGTATACCTTCGCAATAGGATCAACCTCATCACAGCATGTAACTGCTGCCTCCTTGTGTGGAATTGTACAGCTACAATGCAATATCTAAGGAACTATTAGACATTCTATAAAAAAATTCGTAAAGGTATTATCTTGTTGGATATTATAATAGTCAATGTCTGATTAATGCCTGAAAGTCATTATTTCCAGAGATCTTTAGTAACATGATTTTTTTCAAACTTTCAAGACTCCTTATGTGTCTTCCTGGTTATTTTTCTTATCTGACATGTGTCCGATATATGAGGTAAAGGATTTACTATACTTTTGATGGTCTTATTCCCTGCTTGACTTCGGCAGATTATCTATAGTCATAAATGAGTTTAATAAAAATCAACTAGTGTGCAATACATTTATACATAAAAATAACACTCATTTTGAAAAATCAGGAGGTAACATCACCAAGGCATTAGAATCCTATCAACAACAACAGTGTAGCAAACTTCTATAAATGAATAATGTTCAAAACTTCAGATGGTAAATAAAGTATCCAGATATCTTGGTGCAAAACCGTAGTGTCACACAGGTGTTCTTTTTAGGTGTCTCCAGCTGCTTGATGCAGTCTCGAGTAATATATCATCCATAATAATAGGTTGGAAATGGTGCCTGCCACTTTATTCCTCTGAATATACATCTTTTACTCAAATGTGTGTGATAACCGAGATATAGTTTTCATAAGGCTCCCATCCACACACATATCACATTTTAATCAAATCTATCAGTTGGTCATTTGTGGAGAGGATGTGAAATGTGCATGTACTAAACTTATCGAAGCACCAATATCTCAGACATACATAAAAGCCTGTCTAAACATGTAAAGCTAGATCTTGTATGCAAAAGTGGATATTAGTACAGTAAATTGCTCCATGCATTTTACATTGGTTTACTTAGTGCCAAATATATGATTCATTGCAATTTTAGAATTCCATAGAACAGCATTTCCAAGTCAACCAAAACTTCAGATGCTAAGAGTTCTCTGTCAAGTAAATTTCTTGGGCAGAATATGAACCTATCTGAACCTAGAAAAGTGTCCAGCAACTAAACAAGCATTAAAAGAAGAAATAAACATAAAGTTAACAGTTATAACAGTAAAACCATCAAATACGCATCAACTTGCTACATCAGCACAGTTCACGGCAAGCTGGAATTTTCAAGAGATAATTGTTAATAAAGAAAATATATCTTTTTTTTACATTTTTGCCTGTTCTAGACTATCAACATTAATGGAAACAATTGATTTTCAAAGCCATAGAGAGATACATAAGATACTCTACGTATTAAGATTCAGCAAACCAGGATATCTTGTACACAAATGCACAACACTAAAAGGAAACTAGAAAGCAACAGAAGGAGAAACCTCAAAATATGAAAACAGGACAATCAACATTCCACAGATCAGAAAAGGAAACATTCAGGTCAGTATATTAATGACCTTAGAGAATAAAATATCTGAAACCCATGGTTCTAATCATGGATGATGCTTCCAAAATGGAAAGAAAAGAAGGCTAGTAACAACATAAGAAATGTAAGTTAACAAAGCATAGGGAAAATTTTAACAATGACTTATACATCAAAAAATAGGTATTGAGGTTCTATTCATAATCCACATTGTACCTGAAACCAGCAAAATCCAGGGATGAGTAGGCAGTGAGAAAATTTGCAAGGTCATCCACCAAAAGTGGTACATAAACTGCATTCAAACCAACTGATCTAAAAGCCCCATTGTGCAAAATTGGGCTCTTGCTGTGGCCCACAGGTTTGCCAATAATTCCAAAGACCTTCATATCAGGGCCTATCTGTTTGATATTATACACATTCAACAAGTCAGAGATAGTCGGCTGTCCAGCAGCTGATTCCTTCCCTGCATCAATTGTGGCAAAAGTAAGATATCCACCAAACTTAGGGCAAAGCAACCGAGAGATGGCACCTCTCTCACTCATGACCAATCCTATTATTGGTACATGCCACTCATACTCACTAGTTAAATGAAAGATGATTTAAAACCAGTATCATAATATATCTATCTTGGATAATTTCATGATCTATAAGAGAATAATAATAACTTTGAAAAACATAATTCAGGAAATTTTGATAAAAATGATTAGATTTCTCCTTTTTTGCTTTAAATATCAGAAAGGAGCTTTGACATGGTCATAATGAAGTCACAAAACATCAAATAAGCATGATGGATTTAAGTGCAAAAGCACAAAATCGTTGTCCTAACAAGTGCAGGAAATGGGATTGTCCAGGAAGCATGTCACATAATAATAGTTCCACATAACCATTACTAATCACTGATCACTACTAAACCTTTGGTGGTTAAAACTCACTAATAATGAGACCTACTCCACATCCTTCCAATTCAATCTAGTTAAGAATATATAGATATAAAGAGACCAGCTTATATAGTTATATGATTAAAATATTCCAAGTTCTTCCACTGCCATATAACCATAACGGAAAGAATTGAATTGTTAATTAAAAAAATACAAGATGTCATGATCCATGGAAACCAAAATTAGACAAGATCAGTTTGTATTATAGTTTAGTGTCATCTTCAATCTACAGAATAAGAATACAACAACAACAACAAGTCACTATGTCCCAAATATTTGGGATCGACTATGTGCATCTTTTTTCCTCATTAAGCTATATGTAGCTCAATATCCCTAATTATAGCAAAAGCAATCAAAGTTTGTTTCATTTTTTCTAATAAAGTTTTCTTAAGTCTCTTTCTACCTCTCCTTGCACCGCTATTCATCACATCTAAGCAAGGCGGCACTATATTCTATAGGTACTCTTTGAATATGTCCATATAATTGTCACCCTGACCTTCCCTCTCTTCCCTTCCACTCTTGCTCATTGATCTTTCTACACATTCTGAAATCCCAATCACATCTGTTTATTCAGCAAAGAGCTGTTTCTGCCAAAAGGATACTGTAGCAGATCGAGCCTTAAACATGAACATAATTAGACACATTTTTTGCATATGCACAGGATGATGCACCAGCTACTGCTCTCAGCTACCAGCACAGTCAAGCCAAAAGCATGACATGTATCATTTACCACCATGCCGATTGCCAACATGCACTGAAGTGATATGGGCACCACATTCATCTCCTTCAGTAAGCACAATTTATTAAAAAAACATCAAATTCTATTTATACTCACTTGGCAATGCACAATTATTTGGAACATGTGTGTTACATCAACAATATCCAAAGCAGTTGTTGCAATCTTTACTATGTCAGCCCCAACAGCTTGTATTCCTGCTACAAGGCTGCCAAGCACGTCCCTTGATGGTGTGCTTTGATAGTTATGCGAAGATACAATAAGCTTAAAGGTCTCTGGCCTTTTTCCTGATATGAATCTAACAAAATCACCAGCAACCTGAAATAAGTGTCACAATAACATATCAAGAAAAGATGAAACAGGGACCAAATGGAAAAGGGTGAAGAAAATTACTTGTGGACATGCAAACAAACACTAAAGCAACGGATGTCCAAGTTGACCTCCTGCAAAAACACATCTCTATATTTTTTTTGGACCACAAGGTTATTCCTAGTATTGTCATTCAATTTTTCTCCGCAGGACCATGTTTTCTATGTCTCTTTGCAGAGATTTAATATGAATATTTGAATTTACCAGATTAATGTTGTTTCAAGTAAGTTTTTTGAGCTCCTATACCAACATTTCTGTATCATTCTTGAGATGTGTTGCAATTGCATATGATGGTCCATGTGTGTAGAAATGCACCATGCTGCTACAGGTCTTCATGCCATGTCACGAGCATGTCGAGTTCCAACTAGACTTTTATTAATGTTTGACTTGCGCTGATCGACATGGCAACCATGTTGTACAATCTAGGACATGTTGGGAAAAATGATATCCTTGACATAAAGGCCAATCATGATCTTAACATAAGCATAAATCATTGTCATATCAGTCTTCAAACCCAACCTTAAGCTCGATATCAATGTATTCAGCTCGTAATTCCATAGCTAAGCACAGTGCGTTGAACCGCCGGCTATCATCACCTTCATATTCCCCTCCTTCCCACTTTGGCCTACAAGGAAGATGTTAGAAGTTACAAATGAATAAGAAAAGAATGATGAAAAGGATGTGGAACAGTTAAAGATAAGCTTAGAAGAAGATTGACCGAAGGATGTGAAACAGTTAAAGATAAGTTTATAAAAAGCCTAAAAAATAAAAAAGACCGCTTTTGGTAAGTTGCAACTCACCGATGGATATCTGGCATTTGGATACATGACAGGTATAGATGAAGGTTGATGCAATAGTCGAAGTATATTGAAAATTGGATGTGATTATGTAGCCTTTGTTGTTGATCTATTTAACTGAAACTAAAGCGTACTAGACAGGCGAGGGAGTGAACTATCTTAGGTCAATGCTTCCTGTTGCATCCTCCTTGAGCTGGTTTAAGCTGCTTCCCTCGTAAAATTTAAATATGCAAAAAAGGTCCCGTAATTTATTCCCCAACCACTCCAATTTCCATCAACAAAAACGAAAAACGGATTATATTTCGATAAACCAAAGGAAAAAAGAAGAAGAAGAAATATAAAAGACAATCAAAGCAATACAAGTTGCGTGGAGTACAGCAGAGTTCAGCTTAGTAGAGTTTTAGGCATTCTTGTTGATCAAAAGACGAGGGCGGGAATAGGTCGGTTCTTGAGGAGGAGCTCAAGATCCCGCCGGGGATGGACGACGGCGAGGTGGTCAAGGCGGATCTCGACGAGGTCGGCGCCGCGAGCCCTGGCGGCGGCCATCTCCGCCACCAGCGGCACGCACACAAGCGTCATCTCTCTGTCTCTGTCTCTCTCTCTCTCTCTCTCTCTGCGCAATCGAATGGAAGTATCGACGATCTGGAGGAATAAATAGGTAAGTTACCAGGGATCCCACCACAACCGTCCATCTCTCATCTCCTTCATTCTTGACCGTCCATTTTTCATTAAATACAAAAATAACCTATTTGACCCAAAGAGAGGGGGGTTCGGACCGTTCATGACTTACTCACGTAATTGTTCGAAAAGGTCATTGTAACTGTAATGGCTGGCAAGCAGCAGTAACAAAACAAACACGCAGTAAGAGATAGTCATTAAATATTTCTGATGATGTCGAGGAAGTTCTAATTCATAGTAATTCCAATCACAAACCAACAAGGAAATAACATAGAATCTCAGGTCTACCAGCAGTGACGTGACACGTAACTCTAATGTGACTCGGTGGAAAACTATAATGACTCGATAGCCCAAAGGATAAAGCTAGCGATGTGACGAAGCATTCGGGTTTGATCAAGCAGTCTTGGCCTCCACGAGTTCCTCGATCATATTGGCGGCGTCCCGCACGGTCACGATGCTCTGAGCACTCTCTTCTTCCACGGTGATTCCAAATGCCTCCTCGAGACCCATCACAATCTCAACCTGCACAAGAAGTTTGATTAACTTGCAGCATGCATCAAAATGTTATATGCCTTCGGGATTCATTACGCCATTACTCTTAGATTAGACACTTAAGTACCATACTAAACCATAAAATTATGCTCATTTTTTAAGTACTCAGGGAAGAAACTGAATTGGCTTCTCTTTTTTTCTTCTTTTAGAACAGCAAAGTGGATTATAGATATGGATGGTACCGTGTCAAGAGAATCAGCTCCAAGCTCCGCAAACTTTGAATCTCCGGTAATAGAAACGTCGTCGGCAAGTGCCAACTGCTTCTTCACTATTCCACAAACCTTGTCCAGTGTCTCTGGTTTAGCCTGCATTCGAATTAGCTCAATTTTCAATCTACTTTGTGAAAAGCCAGTAGAATAAATATAATGGCTTATAGTTATGTAGTACAAAGATTAACATTTACACAGTGCGCATGATTGTCACAGTGAGAATTAGTGAGAGAACCGTATTCTTGGATTATGAAGCACTGAGCAATTGATGAAGTGTTACAGATAAAACACACTACAACTGAAACTATTTGGATGGCATAGAGCATTAACAAGCTTATTATATCAGACAAACAACAATCTTGTTAAGCTTCATAGAAAATTTACCAAAAATATGACAATTCACAATAACTATTAATAAATAAACAAAACTAACATCAAAATAAAGAGTTCTAAAAACATGAAAGAATTATGATTAGACATCTAACAATCAGCAGTAAACCTATTCCCCAACCAATCATGCAAAACGCAAAGTACTGTCAGTGCCAAGAATATTCTTTTCTGTATAAGTATCAAAGAAGATAATTTCTACATCTGACAATAAATATATTCACGAGATAAGGAGAATGGTAAAAACAATAACAATATATTATAATATCACAAAAAAATTGATGAGCTATATCTTTTATACTCATAGAAGCACATCGTATTCATGTATTTATAAACAAGAGCTGATTGCAATGGAGTCTGTCTGCCTAGTTCATTTGTTGCTATTGCATCAGTGTCTTCAGAAGTGCATGTTTGCATAGCAGCCATAAGTGGAACTCGGAATTTTCAGATCAAATTATGTTCCATAAAGCAAGGAAATATCCAAGCTGTGAACCTAGTGGTTATTGATTGTAGATTAGCCAAACAGCAAACCAGCAATAGTCCTAAAATAAAAGCATGAGAACAAGACTGCACTTATAAAATTTAAAGCAGATAAAAAGTGAAAGAAACATACAGCACAAGATACACGAAACGGTGCTGGGTTCAAACGAATTGACCGGAAGCTCCTCCTTTGGCTTGAAAAGGAAACTGATTTTAGAGCAGATAGACCATTAAATACCTGCAGACCAGCAACAAAATTGCAACATCATGTAGACTAACATTTTAGTTTGATGAGTTCACTGTACACAAAATTAGTATAGTGATTAGCACACATGAATTTTTTTCCCACAGAACCTTGAACCGAGTTGTTAATTGAAGATCACAAGTTGAAAAAAATTTAAACATAGATCTTGATCAAAAATGCTACTTGGGAGTAGGAATGTATTCTCTCTCTCAAAAGTTAATTCAGTAGCATCATGCACGTTTGAGCACATTTATCTAATTTAAGATAGATGGAATCTCCAAATCAAACGTTCATGCTATTGATCTTCATGTTAATTTGTTTTCCTTGTTCATAGCTAGCATGATTACATAAAGCTCCAGAGATATTGCAGAGTTCAGAAGGTCTGGATGTTCTTCAGGTACGACTGTAGTTAATATCAACGAACAAGCAAACCAAGGATGCTCTTAAAGCAACAGACATCCTCATTTGTTGAAAAAACCATGTAAATATCTGGTTAAGTTCAGCGATTCTACCTTGGTGCGAAAATGTGGGTCATGCTATAATGCCCGGAAGAGTTAGAAATGCATCAACACCGTTGTTTGCCAAGGCAAATGGAACAACAGTTCAAAATGTGGGTTGGGATAGTGGCTGGACATGATAAGGAGATCGTGTTATCAGCAAGAGACGGTGACAATAATTTTGTCAAAGGGGAGGCTTGCAACTATGTTGTGACGGTGATCAACGAGAAACACGTCGAGCAAGGGTGACGGCAGTTGCTTGGTTGTGAAATAGACAAACCCGATGAGCAGAGACGCTAAATCACTTTAAATGGAAGGTTCAGAAAGGGGCTCAGAATGCGATCCGCTCTTCACACTTGTTGAAGAACCACTGGATGTTCGAGATAATGACATCAACATTCAAATAGGATGAGTAGAAGCTACATGCAGATGCAAAAGGCCAGCGATTAAAGTAGAGATAGAAGCAGAGAAGGTTGCATAGGCATAGGAGGCTCAGTAAGATGTAGGGGCGGAGAAAGATGTAAGGACTGAAATTAAAGCTATCAAATGGCAAACGATATCAATCAAGGTGTTTTTCGCTTGATCCATTCAGATCTCGTAAAGACAAAAAAAAGGAAAGATTTTTCGAAAGCATTATCGGGTCCACAGAATCAAAGCAAAAACACATATAAAGCTGAACAAAAAGTAATGAACCACACGGTTCTATGATTACGCAAGGCAGAAACAAAGATCCAATGAAAAACCCTCAGGCAAGGCAGTAGGCAAAGACGAGACCAAAAGCGATCGATACCTGCAGAGATTGCCGCAGCGGCCGAGCCGAAACCGGGATCGCGATTCCGGCTATGGAAGCCATAGATCGATCTGTGAGAGAGAGAGAGAGAGAGAGAGAGAGAGGTATGGAGGAAGATCACGGCGACGAACACGAGGAGCTTGAGAGAGGAAAGGTGAGATCCGAATATAAAGAGAACGAGGTAACCTTGGTAGTATCGAAGGGTGCCAAAATGACCATAATACCCCGAAGCAAACAGTTATGAGCTTTCTGGTCATTTTAACAATGCCGACTTGGACTTGCTTTGCTGTCGCTGAGGTCGGAAAGTCTGCTCAATACATCTCAACCGTCTAACCCACAAAATCTTGAAGATCAACGGTTGATTGATCATCGTTTTACATGAGGTGCGATTGCTAGGTGCTGTAGCGAGCTGCCAGCAGCATCATTTATATCGGACTCCAAAATTTTCATTAATGTATCAAATAAACGAATGCAATGAACCCAATAAAGAACTCTTCATTTGCAATATAAAGAAGTTTTCTTTTTCATTTTTTCCCCAAAAAATCTTTTTTTTTTTTCAACTGATACTCCCTCCTGATTATATCTCTCATCAATCCTAATGATATTTTTTATATTTTTATTTGATTTTAAATTATTATAATATTTTATTTAGTTCATTAATAGTATCTTTTATTGAGATATCGAAAATATTATAAAGTTATTAAAAAATATTATAAGTGATATTATATTATATCTATTTAATTTATCACTGTTCATAAATCATTATAGTATCATAGTTTTAGTTTTCTAGTTGGTTTAATTACGGTTACAAATTAATTTAGATTATTTATAATATTTTTAAAGAAATTTTAAATATCTTGATTATAATGGTTAAAATACTATAATATATTAATTTTTTATATTTATTTGGTTGATGTTATTTTTAAACAATCATAACTATCTATTTAAATCGTAATATAATATATCAAATGGTCTATAGTATATTTTGATTTCATTTTAAACACTTTGGCGTTTTTCAATAATGTTACAATATATTATGTTTTTTTTGTATTATCATTATTTATTATGATATCAAAATTTTATATTGTATTTCGTTTGGTAAAGATTATAAATCTATTTATATTATTTATAATATTTTTAAGTAAATTTTATAATATTTTTATTATAGTGACTAAAATATTAACGAAAAAAATACTATTAAAATCAGTGAAAATTTTTTGAAAATTATTCGAAACTGAGGACATTTGAATTAAAAACAAAAAAAAATCCAGAAAACTCACTCAAGAACGCACCAAAATCACATGCAGGTTTCATTTCTCTCACTGCGACATCAACAATCCCCACAGTTACGGACCGAACACAAACGTACATGTGGCAGGAAAAGAGGAAAGAGGAGGTGGGTTCTCCCCCTTCCGGTTAAGAGGTGGCCGGAACAGGGGAAAGTGGAGGTGGGTTGTCTCCTTCCGGCTCGCTCTTAGATGGTTGACATGGATGGAGACTGCGTTCGGTGGGTGAACCAGGCACGAAAGGAACGAAACCCCTTCCACCGAACACTGGACGCATGAACTTATCGTCGAACTTGCGCCAGTAATGGTGAACCGAGCGACTCGGAGCTGTGAGAAGCATACGGAGGTCCGGAGGAGGCGGAGGCGGAGGCGGAACAGTCTGTTCTTCTTCGACCTGAGACTCCTGTCCGAACCCAAGTAGCATGGAGAGGTAAGATCTGGGCGGGCTCGAGGGCTCAGATGTGAAGCTGAGAGTTAGACTGCTCA